TTTGCTAACTTTTTGGTAATTTTTGTAGAAAATATATTAATATGCAAAAAATATTTAAATATACATATTTAAAATCGTTATAAATTATTAAAGACATTCTGTGGTATTTTACATTTAATTTGTAGCACATTCTTAAAAGCTTAATTGGTAATCACTTTAAGTTAAATAAATCAATTATAAAATAATTTCCTATCGGTACTTAACATTTTAACAATTTTAATCCAAATTATTACAACATTAAACGATAAAATTTATATTTCAGGTATTGCCCCAGCACTGACATAATAGAGGCGTTTTGTTGATCAAGTTAAAGCGTTTAAGCTGAAACAGTGGCTCACTATAACCTGAGACGACGAAACTTGCTCCACTATACCGAATACAGCGAACAAAACAAAACATTATATATCTAATAGATTAAAATAATTCAGTGCCACCGACTTTCATTTGTGTATCCTACATCTATATACATAGATAAAAAAATGGAAGGTCTGTTTTACTGTCAAAACAACAGCTTTTTCCAAATGCATATGAAATTATATACGGTACTTATAAAAAAAGCACAATTTTTAACATTTTTGACTGTCTGTCTGTTTGTTCCGGCTAGTCTTCAAAATGGCTAGGCTCATTTTGACGGGACTTTCATTGGCAAAGGTTATAAGCAGTAACTTGGCTACTTTTATTTTAGAAAAAGAATTAGGGTCCCGTTCAAAAAAAGTAAAACGTATTACTTAGGGACGCACCCGAGCGAAGCGTGTGTAAGTCGCTAGTCTATTATATAATAGAAGAGGTAATGATCATTATAATTTCTTTGTGCAATATTGAATTGACACTGATGAGGCACTAACACATTTCGAAACAGGTTAATTTCTATCACTTAAAGTGAATTAATCCATTTCTATATGTTTCCCTATATTAATATACTTATATGTCTATCAAATAAATTCTTATTTTTTTATTAAATCAATATATTAAAATGTAATAATAATGTTATACTATTAAAAATAACCGTACGAAAATAGATAGAAAAGAAATAACTCAAAACTGCTCGATAAGACTTTACCGAACAACTAAGCCAGGATGGTACAGTAAACAACATGTCGAAGTATTAATAACTTAAGACTTCGCAACTTGCTTACCTGTTCTAGTTACGCTCTTATAGAGTTATTACATGAACTGCTGTATCATGTATCGAAGATTTAATTTTTAATTAAGTATAATATACAGCCGAAGCTTATAATTTATTAACAAAAAAATTAATTTGAATAGTAATTTTGATTAATAAATCGATCTATAATAATAAAATCGTAACTAAGCCGAATCTGTACATGAAATATTTTTTGGAAAATCTTATTGAAATAAACATTATTATCGATACAGAGGCCGTGGTTGTGGTTTTTCTGTGATGCGGTAACAGACAGACAGACAAAAAATCTAAAAACTATTGATTCGGCCTCTGTATCGATAATAATTTATATTCTTATATTAGTGAATTACCCTTGCTTCGCCCGTGTCCGTCTCTAGTGTCCTTGTCAAATATTAGCCTACATCTTTATATCATGACTAGCATTGCCCGCGTAGCTCCGCCCGCGTTCAGATGACCAAAAACCAAAATCTTAGGTTTTACATATTAGTATACTCTTACAATGCAGTTTTTGTAGTTTTTCTCAGAAATGAGATATTTTCCCGCGGAAAAAAGTATCCTATATGTTGACCCGGATAACCAGCTATCATCATACCAAATTTCATCAAAATCCCTCCAGTGGTTTTTGCGCGATGCGGTAACAGACAGACAGACAAAAATTCTGAAAACTATAGATTCGGCCTCTGTATCGATAATAATGTCTATCTAAATCAGATTTTCCAAAAAAAAAAATAATGTACAGATTCGGCTTAGTTACAATTTTATTATATGTATAGATGATGATGACGATGTTCTCCTGGCTGATTCCGGCTACGGCGGTCAATCTCATTGAGACTAACTAACTGCGCAGGAGATATTATAGTACACAAGTGTACGCGCAGACACAAGTACACTCTCTATTCCTGTCACTCTCATACTCTGGTGGGACGACTGCTAGACACGACCAGTAAGAGTTAAGGCGCAGGACCGACGGCTTTACGTGCTCTCCGAGGCACGGGAGTGAAACACTGCCAACTTCCCAACTCCGGGCTGTTACTGAGACTTACTATACAGAAAGACTCAATAACTAAACTTGACCCGACCCGGGACTCGAACCCAGGACCTCCGAGTGTGCAGCCGTAATATATAACTGCCTCGGTGGTGTAGTGGGTAACATTACCCACTAACCACCGAGGCAGTTATATTTATATAATAGTGTATCTATAGGTATACTCATCTAAATCCGTTTCAGCATGAATAAATAGCAAATATACACATATCCACAAATTTCCAGGTAACTCATAATAAAATTCATAATAATAAAAAAACGTATAAATAGTTTCACTATACTTACTTGTTTCTTAATATCATTTCTTTTTTGAATACAGAATCTAAGCTAAAATAGTTTTTTACCGCATAATATTAAAACTGAAGAATACTTACGTATGTACGACGTATGTACATTCTTCGATATATAGTAAGCAATTTTTATATGCCAGACGCTTCCCTAGATATTTTGTTCTATTTAAGTCAATTTGTAGATATAACAATTATGACTCATATTTAATAATTTCAAAATTTCTCAGAGAGATAAATACGCAGTACGTTCCATCCGATATAGATTCCTAATCAAAGATGCGGGCTGCAGGAATCTTAGCAAATTAGTAGGGGAGCCATTACTTAGGGTTGTCATTAGGCAATTTACGTAAGAAATAATTATATATTTAATATATTGACATATACTAAAATGTAGGGTAATATTATTAATACGACTCTATTTGTCTATCTCTGACTGAGTTCCACAGAGTGTGCTTAACGGTTATTATATAGACTTTGATAAATCCCTAATATGAAGATACCCTAAAACCTGACGAAGTATAAAGGCTATTTTTTAAACAATAATAATAATAATAAAAATCGACAGTAATTTTATATCACACTCAACAAAGAAAAATTGTCTTTTTTTGAGAAAGCAAATAGCAAAGATATCTATTCTATATAAATAAAAATGAATATTGGTAAGCGCATAACTCAAAAATGGCTCTACCAATTCGGCTAAATTTTTTTTCGTATGTTCTTAAGGTGGCTCCTCAAGACGTTCACGGATTTTTTTAATAAAGAGAAAAAAAGAAAAAAAAATTAAAATTTATATGGCTAACGCTGGCTAATAACTATTTAAAACGTACCTAGCGACGAACCCGAGCAAAGTCAGGGTGAGCCGATAGTAAATGAATATAATCTTTAGTAACAATAAGTACTACAATATATTCAAAAGTCTAAAAATCTAAAATGTATTTTTTTTAATAAACAAATTATTCAATATAATAAAATTAATCTGTTTTAATTATTACATGAGTAACAATTCAATTTATCGTTATTAAAAGCTTTTTAGTATTCTGCTAACCCTGATGGCAAGAACAAGGAGGTAGTATCGGGATGTCTTGAGTGGACACCACTAATATCCCACACAAAGAGCTCTCCTCTCTGCGAGGCTCTTTTGCGTATACATCGACTATAAATGTTGTGATGTATTGAATGAACGGTAACATAAATATTTCTACGAACTTTAGGGCCATCGTATTTAAAAGATTTCAAAAGAACAATTCAAAAGCCTAATTTTCTTAAGATTATTTATAACATATGTGTATACCTTACGGCTTAAAGTGTTTATAAAAATTTAAGTAAGAAACTATTTTATTAGATTATCATTTATTATTGACCTGCCACTGAACATCGAGATACAGTTTCAAGGTTCATTGAATTAGATGCGATTGTAGCAATGTTAAAATATAAATAATTAAAAATTTTAACTTCTGAATATATCATAAATACTTATATTTGAAATATATGAAATTAACTGTAGAGTGGAGCTTCTATAAATTAAATGTAAAGTTGGTTAAATTAATCCACGTTTAAATTACCTAAGATTGAACGAGAAAGCTAAAAGTAACTTTTTGCCGCATTTTCAAACGCCTGGCTTGGCTTTAAGCTGTGTAATATCACCAGAAATCCAATGTAAGTTATTATAATACGTTTTACTTTGAAGTAAAACAGAGTTCAATAAATACTCCGAATTATTTTATAGTCAAAGTTTTTATTAAAATTATTTTAAAGAAAAATTAAAACAAGTAAACTGAAAGCTTTTTAGATATCTTGCATCGCAACAAAGCGTTATCTGGTGAGCAATAGGGAAAACATAAAGTTATAAAACATTCAGGTGTGCAATAGAGAAAGCATAAAATTATTAAGTGACATCTATCGACAAATAGACATATTGCCGCTAACGCCATCTATTGGCAAGTAGAATATTATAATATAAGAAAATCTTATTTTACTATATTTTTCAATTTAATATTCTTTTATTATTTTTAAAATGATCTGTTATATTATGTATGCTTGAAAATAATAAATAAAAATGAGAAATAAATAAAATGAATACCTATATAAACAAATTTGACCATTTTTCACAAAAAGAAGAATAATTTTCTCGTCAGATTTTGACAGATTTTCTCAAATCTATTATGCATAACCGCAAATTCAATATTTAGCGTTTTAAATATATGTAGATAATATGCTCAAAGGTAGATTTATGCGAATTGTAAGTAAGCCACAATTTTTATTGAAGTGATTATTTATGACCAAAACCATTTCGTATTTTCTTTCTTTTCTTAGGTTTCAGAAAGCACATCGTTATGGAAATATTCGCAATACATTAATACATTCCGAACACAAAAATGCTGGGTTCATTTAAAAACAAGGTAACAAATAAAATCATTACATAATTAAAAGACATTAACAAACTTTACATTTATAACAATTTTAAAATTTATTTAGCAGGCACATAAACAACAATAAAAACCTATTAGTTTTAAGACGTGAAATGTCCTTCTATTTAAGACGACAAAATTTTAAGACTAATGCAATTTTTTTCGCTGTTGAAGAAGTCAAAGCGCCTACATTCCCAGATTCCATAACCAGTGGTGACGTCAAGTGAGTGAAAATGAAAACTCTATTTATCCTCACAAAATTATTCAGACTAAGTAAAGAGGACTTTAGGAATCTTTCCTCAGATTTCTTATGTTGATATTTTTCTACAATTTACTATTTTTACTTTACAAAACATAATACTACCAAGACAGGAAGAAGAGTATAGTAATTACTAAGTAATTATTAAGTATGTACTATATGGATACATCGTATCATACCTACCTACATCACGACATTAAAAAATATTTATTTGAATTATACCATCTTTTATCATGATCATTAAGAAATTTTAATTCAAGGAAAGATTGTTGATTACAATTATGCAGATATAAATATAACGTATTATATATTATATTCTAGGTTAATAAAAAAAGAAGGTGATGCAGTAGCTATAGATGAAGTGGTGCTAGAAATAGAAACAGATAAAACAGCTTTGCCAGTCATGTCTCCAGGCAATGGCAAAATTGTAAAATTATTAGTTAAAGATGGCCAATCGGTCAAATCGCAGCAAGCTCTTTTTCAGGTCAATGAATTTAATATCACTCAATCAATTAGTCAGTTACATTTAAAACAGGATTACATACTAAATATAATTATTATTCACCTATATAAAATGCAATTCTCCTAACACGAAAGTGACGAAACTAAAAAATCGGACAAGTATCTGCTAGTCTGACTCGCACAGTGACCCGTAACATGAAACATTAAAATAAGTTTATAATCTCAAAAATATCATTTATTACTACACATTTCCTGTTTTCGGATGTTTACCTTTACTTGTACTATAAGACACTGCTTCTTGTCAAACATGATTCTAAGTCGACGGTAAGTGCCCTACAGGTTTTGATTTCCTTTTGAGTTTTGTCTATTTTCCTAGCGAGCGTCAAAATATGCGACATAAGCGGCCGTATCTTTTAATTGCGTTGGCTTAGAAGTTTGATGTTTTCATATCTCCGATGGATTGCAGACTTGAGTACCTATTTGATGTTAATTTCAACTTGATACCTCCACAGATTTTTGAGTAAAAGGGTATTGACAGACAGACAGACAAATAAACGGACGGACCACGAAGTGTTCCTATAAGGGTTCCTTTTTTGCTCTTGAGGTACTCAACCCTAATAAATTTATTATGCGGGCCGATTTATTTTGTAAAATATAATAAAATTGAATTATACAAAAAAGATTTAAAAAGCAATAAAAATAAAAGAAATCACGCTGAAATGGCTGGATGGTTTTGTATGAAATTTAGTAACATAGGCTACTGTTAGGCGCCTACAACGAAATTCTGTGAATATCGTATTATATAATGTAAGTGTCTATAACATTATGTGAACTTAAAACTAGGTGGATGTGACCGGTGAAGCACCAGCTCCCGCAGCGAAGCCTGCTGCTGCCCCCGCACCTGCAGCACCACCTCCGCCCGCCCCCGCCCTCACCCCCGCACCTGCAACCCCTGCACCTACAGTAAAAGGAGCAGCCGCCGCTAAGCCTACAGTTGTACAAGCTGCAGTAAAGAAAACTGCCCCAACTGGCCCCACAGTAATCATATGAAATTGTTTTATCAATTTTCTAAATAAAAAATACAGTATCTTAGATTGTAGATGAAACTACCCCCACGGGCCGCGTGACGCGTCCCATATTATTCTCTCCACGACCGCGGACACGCCGGAGTTATGTTAACAATAGATTTCTTAGAAATTTAATTGATTGGAAATTTACCTGGAGGTGTTAAAAAGCTTGTGGTCTATATTTGTAAAACGTTCATGCATAGAATGCCTAAAATTTTATTTGCTTTAACTTCCTATGTAGTCTATGTATTAATAACTAATTTATTTATTGTATTCAATTCACTTTTTTATATATAAATATATAAGAATGGAATTAATTTATATTATAATATTAATATTAGATACTTAAAAAATGTTTGCAGTGGATGATGAAAAAGCGATTGAGTAATAAATAGCCGATTTAAAAAAAAAGTATGCTATTTAACATGTATACCTACGTGTTTTGCCTTTTATATGCCTACGTGTAATGATATTCCTGAAAACTAATAAATATTTTTGTTTTTTAAAATGACATTTTTAGCTACCTACTTATTAGTTTTGGAGAAAATCATTATATAATATATTATTTATATTTTTAATTTAATACACTGAATGGATTATTCGTGTTAACCAGTTAGCTGCACAAAAAATCGGCGATCCAACAAAAACAATATCAGGCAGTCGATCAGAACTGGCTGTGCCCATGAATAGGATGCGCAAGCGCATTGCTGAAAGACTAAAAGAAGCTCAAAATACCACGGCTATGCTGACAACATTCAACGAATGTGATATGAGGTTATTAAAGTACTTTAATAAAATGTAGGACTCTTAATAAATATAACAATAATATTTTTTTTATAAGTCAACATTTTATTCAAACTATCAGAAAAACTTCAAGCTCGTAAAAAGTAGCAAATTATGACATTTTAATTTTTACTTTTAATATACATATTTGATACAGAGATAAAATTTATTTATGTTTAGCATCTCGGAACTACTGTATCCATTAAGATGTTGTTATAGACATACAGAATCATTCAGTTGTTTTGATTTTTGTACTTCCCTAATTACTATAGTGCATATCTATACATATAATACATTCTTAGATTTAAACGAATATTTGGTCACGGGAGAGACTCACGATTGCTATAAAATGTAAAGCATTCGAAACGTCAAGAACCAAAAAACAAAATAAATCCGCGAAATAATCCGAAAAGATAATTTTATTTAAAATATATGTACATACATTATTATGCATGCTTTATATAATATATAAAGTAAAATTGTAATTAATCTTTTCCAGCAAGCTGATGGCTTTCCGTAAAGCGAACTTAGAAACATTCACGAAGAAATATGGCGTAAAACTATCTTTTATGTCACCATTTTTAAAAGCTTCGGCCAACGCTCTCATGGATCAGCCGATCGTCAATGGCGTTATTATAGGAGAAAATATTATTTACAGGTATTTTTTACAATAAAAGTTTTAATATCATCTTATACACTTTTCTTTTTTTTATTTAAATGAAATCAATCTTGTAATATAACGTCTGTCTGTATACACATATATGTATGTATTTGTATATTGCATTAGCATTTAGCAATAACATACATTATAGGTTATATGTACCTATATGAAATAGATGAAGTACACAACATTAACAGATTATTTCACGTGACGTGTATGTACTTGTACATATACATGTATATATTTTTACTTAATTAATTGTATGAATATATAATTTTATACTTAATTTCGAGATTACTTAGATTTAACTAGACACTAGATGGGCACTAAGTTATTAACACGAGTTAGTTTATCAGTTATAATAACTAGGAAATACTATCTAAAGTTATCTTTCACGTCACCATTTTTATATCGCTCGGCGAACGCTCTCACGGATCAGGCGATCAACAGCGTTATAACGTAGCATTGTTTACAGGTAATGGGCGCGTAATGCTATTACTTCTAGGACAAAGCTTTTACACGGCGGCTTATGCCTCCCGTCCGATCACCCTGTACCACCCCCGTATCTATTCAGTTATTTTGTTTCAAGAAAAATGTTTTTAATCTATTCGTTTTATTATTAAGTTCATAGGTGCCTGTTATAAAGGGAAAAGTTTTGATAGTCTGTGTTTGCTACTTCATAACTCTGTAACCGCTCAACGTATCGAACTAACGGAATGGAGAAAGTTTATATACTGAAATAAAAAAATAGGCCACTTTTAATCAATAATGAGATGTAATAATTCGCGAGCGAAACCGCAAAAATTAGTTAATAATAAAAAATATATTTATAAAATAAATATTATGCAGCCATTACTCAAATATAAACCGATTTTGTGAACAGTTTCTATTTTGCAATCTGATACATCGTCATTTTTCCACTTCCCTTTTACAGTTTGCCTTCTTCTTGTCAAGATCAGGAAGAGATCTCTATTTTATATACTTATAAAGCCGCCTCTTGTTCTTAGATTAAGATTTAATTGTATTCCAGTACCCTATGTACCTACTAATACTACAAATTTTGTTTGTGGATGTACAATAAAGAGTATTTATTATTATTATCATAACAGAGACTACGTAGATATTTCGGTAGCAGTGGCCACTCCCAAAGGCTTGGTGACTCCGGTTGTACGCAACGTCCACTACATGGATTTCCCACAGATCGAGTTAACCATAGCGGCACTTGCAGATAAAGCGAGGAAAGGTATATAATTTTATAATTTTACTATATTACTTTAACATATTAAGTATAACTACATATAATTGAAAAGAAACAAGTATTTCAGAACAATACTATGTACAATGTACATACATATATCTTTAATAGATAAATCAATTCAATCCTTTGTTTTTGAAAGCTACTAGTCTAGTTTTAAAAATGATTCATATCTTTACCGGTTACCTTCATATTATTACAGGCTTATCGTAAGCCTAAAAATAACACCATAGAACACGTCGGTGAAATAAAACGTGCCGCGTGAAGGTCATATTGCACTCAATGCCGACTAAATGCCTATACATTCGAAACCTTTAATAGCAATAGCGTTTAGAAACTCTGTTGATGTAACTCTAGGTAGGTATATAGCGATTACTGATTAGTGATCCCAACATATTATTTATTTTACTCTAATTATGATGTTTCAAACATAATGTCTTTAATACTGAGGCTATGATAAAACAATATTACCTACCGGAAAACGCGAAACTTGTTATAAACAATTTCTGAATGCAACATACCTATCTGCCTACAGCCTACCTCAGAAAATGAGCTAACTTGAAATGAAAAAAATGCGATAGCTTTGAATGAAAACAATAATACAAGTATATTTAGGATATAAGATATTGTCATCAGGATATTAAGTATCTATTGTTAAAATGTATGTACATTCTTAATTTCTTGACGACAATAAAACTTTTTAGAAAAAATAAAAACCGATCCCAAAAATACACTAAAGGGTAAAAAATAACTGATTGGTAGTTTTCATTTACTATAGCCTAATCAGATATTTTCGAAGTCGGTGTGCTTTTTTTAATTTGTATCGGCTGGCGCCTACTGAGACCTCCACCTTTCTGAAATTTGTTGACAAATGTTCAAATATACTTAATCATTATATATCAATATAATCATTATTTATAATAATGTTCTTACTTAGGTTTTATAGTCGTTTTAATTTATTAACAGCAATTTTGCATTTTGATCATATATATCTACAAGTAAAGAATCAAAGAGAATGCACAAAAATATGCATTATAGCGTTATTTAAGGTTCGAAAGCTATGAATAGAGTATTTCAGGCAGGCTAACGCCCGGCGACATGCAAGGCGGTACATTCACGATCAGCAACGGTGGGGTGTTCGGCTCGCTGCTCTCGATGCCGATCATCAACATGCCGCAGTCCGCGATACTGGGCATGCACGCCATTGTGCAACGACCCGTCGCCGTACAGGGAAAGGTAGGAAAGATATAAGTATTATATATTTTTTTATTATATGCTGTTTTTAATAAAATGTTTTATACTTGCTACGAGTCTCGTATGACTTTAACTCCATATAATAGTATGTACCTTCGTCAACTCGTCTCCATCTTTTTAGCTCGATTTTTACGCAGTCGGTTCTTTTTTGTACTTTTATAATTTATTTTTTATCAAAATAAACACTAATTGACGCCTGTTAAATCCATCATTTCAGTTTTTAATGATATCTATAATCTATATACCCACGTTATAAAAACTAATCTAACGATATATGAATCATCAAAATCGGTTAAGCTGTTTAGATGTTACGAGGTTATGGAGGATCGGGTGTATCAAATATACACACATACATGTAATACCCGCACATAACCCTTGTTTGAACTTCCCTGCAGTCAGATAAGAATAATGTCAACATTTGATCACTAAGGAACGATTTCGGAATACCTTCAAAACTTAAATTTGACTCATTTTGATTGTAAAATAAATTGTAATCACCTAAATGTTGTACCAAAATCTAACAGTTATATGTAATATGGGTAGGTGAGTATCCTTCCATCTTTGCTTAACTAGTGACCACTAATATTCTAAGCACGCCCTCGCAATAGTTCTCTAACCTATCCGTAGAATCCCATTCAATGTTGGAGTTCACTTCACTGCTCCCGCCCCTTGCATTTATATGCAAGCTGCGCCCCGACCTGCATTTTAAATACCTTATCTTTTAACATATCGAATAAATAACAAAGTACGTACTATATGCATATCGCTTTTTTATCTGTATCAAAAATATATTTCAAAAAATTAAATGGTTCTACTAATAAAAGTTTATTTATTGGAATAGATTCGGAGACAACCTATGGTACATAAGTAGTTAGAATTAAAAAGCGATTAAATCCATAATAATTATTATCAGCTCGATGAACATTTATGAATCACACCTACCTACATTTTTTACAGAGATTACGTTTTTTTTTGTTTCTTGAAAATAACATTAAAAAAGTTAATATACTACATAGGATAATCAAAGTTAAGGCTCACAATTATAGAAATGCTCTTTTACTGTGCTCTAGGACCGTAGGCACTGCAGTTGTGCGAGTGGTAGTCCGTATTAGTACGTCAATAAAAAAAAGGACACGTGCTAATCCACAATAAAAGCTATTTCCGTTCTACCTTTTACTTAAATCCGTAATGAAAAAATAATAAGCACACTAACTCAGTTGCAATCTTTAAAGTTTTAACTAATATTAATTCATGGGATTTAACTTTAAAAATTGTAACAAAATTTATAATTATAAAATAAATCGTTTTTTTTTCTGAATACTGAAATAAAATTCATATAATTATTGTTTGTTTAACAGGTCGAGATAAGGCCAATGATGTACTTGGCACTGTCCTACGACCACCGACTTATCGATGGTCGCGAAGCAGTCATGTTTTTACGGAAAGTGAAATCCGGGGTTGAAGACCCTACGTCTATTCTCGCTGGGATCTAATTTTTGTATAGTTTATATTCTATAAAGTTTGTAATTATTTGTAATAAATAACTATTCTAAAATAGTCTAATGGTGCTAGTTACTACAACTATACCAATATTAATTTATATGAATAATTAATGGAATACGAAACAATAGGGGCGATATACAGGAAAAGGTGACATAAGGCTGATATTATTTGAAATTTTTCACTTGTGTATCACAATCATGAACGAATTAACCACTGGACCAGACATATAAGCGGACGTACCTTTATCGGTCTTCTCAGTAACCAGGAGATTTTAGGCTTGGTCATTTGTTTTTTGCGTCAGTCTCAAGCACTTATTTGTCAACAAAACATCTCCCAGAAATTACTAAATGTTCTGTTAAATGATGTAAAAACTTTAACGGCGGAAGCAGCACTATTTCTTTTCACTTGTAAATATATTATTTTATTACATTTATTGTTATTTATCACACAATTTAATTAAATGTAAAATAAAATGTCATATTATCCAACTATGTTAAATATAGTCGATATTTATATGTATTGTTGACATCTGAAAACCATCATAAAATGGCTGGATTATACCATTCAGAACAAATGACAAAACTGTCGAGTGAGTCCATTTGACATCGACTAGTGCTTGACAATGTCGAAAAATATATCGATATTTGACGAAATAACTAAACGAATTGTGTTATTTGTACAGTACAATAACATAAAATACTTTTACCACAGTATCCTACAATCTGATGACAATAAATTTATAAAAATATTTTCTAAATCAAATAAAAATATAAATGCAAAAATTATAATTACTATGTGTACTTAATTTTTTATTTTATTTTATTGCACATTTATATACTTTGGAATATTATTCCATTGTAATAATAATAAAGATCATTTTATTTCAACACATAAATTATACAAAATCAAACAATAATGTTTTAGCACTAAACTTCTGGGTTGGCGATTTGTAATAAAACACTTTACCACTTGCACTAATTATTTTACTTTCACGATCCAACACTCACTTTAATTTGCGATCACTTTTTCTTTTTCCTTATTTCACAAATGTTTATTAAGAACTGAGCAATATTAGGACAGTGTCACATTCTTATAACTACCCAAGACACTCAATTGCCAATTAAAATAGTTCAATAACAGAATCAACAAAATCACTTTATTTAATTAAATTAGCTTAATATTTTTTTAATCTTTACAAAATAATATTTATTATATATTAATGGAATATATACCCGATATTCAATTCAATTCAATTCTCTTGCTAATGGCTTCAAAACGTGCCAGTTGAGCACAGATTACTTTGCCAATGTCACGTAGAATGGAGAAGACACGAAGGAGATTGGTCGGTATTAAATGAGATTACTAAACTGTTTATATTAATTAAAAAGTGTAAAAAAGGTTAGCAACTCCTCTATGAACCTTGGATCTACAACAAAAGACAACACAATTATTATATACATAAAAACCATAATTAAAAATAAGCAGTTAGTAAGTAAGTTCTAAATATATTATAAAATTGTTAGTCTATAATCTAATTCCATTACTCTTAATATATTTACATAAAAATTTACATAAAGGACTAAACACAAACATTAACAAACAATTAACATCAATGGGACGGGGGACTTTGAGGGGAAGGACATCATAAATAGGATGGAGAAGTCTAGGACAGCTAAAAAGAATATGAGAGGGAGTACCTTCATCAAGACCACATTCGCATAAGGAATGGTCCCTGACCCTAATTTTCGCTAGGTGCACAGGTGTACATGCATGTCCAAGGCGCAAGCGACAAATGGTAGTTATGACCCAACGTTCCGCAAGTTTTAAACGATAAAACCAAGGGTGCCTTGGGATCTCGGCCTGAAGGGCTGCATAGTGCTTACCTTTAAAAGATTTTGATAGATTCCAGTTCTTATTCCAAGCTTTTTCTAAATGGTTCTTAGCAAGAGATACCAGATCCTGAGCCGAATTATTAAAATACTCAAGCGTCCCACAGATAACAGCAGATTTTGCACAAGAGTCCACAGTTTCGTTACCTGGAATACCAGAATGGCCTGGTATCCAGACCAAGGAGACCAGCAAGCCCTTCTGATGACATGAGAACAAAGCTTCACGAATCCGTAAGATAATAGAAGATCTTAATTTGCTACGAAACGGATTCTCCTTAATGGCCATTAAACAACTGAGAGAGTCTGTCAGTATAACTGTCTGTTTGAACTCATGGGAGAGGGTGAACAGGATTGCTTCTAGTAGAGCAACAGCCTCGCCTGTAAACACCGATGATTCTGGAGGGCATTTAAATTGCAAAATAATTTTGAATTTAGGAACCCAGCAAGCTGCACCAACACAGCCATCATGTGATAGCTTAGATGCATCAGTAAATATAAGGAGGTGATTCGACCAATTTTGATGAACTAGACTCTGGAATTTTGTGTTGGTGTCAGGGGCTTTCTTGGTCAGACCAAGATCCAAGATAATAGAGGGAGAAAAAGTTAGTGCATTATAAGGAGTACCAAAAAGAGGATTAAGACGAAAACGGGATAAAGGGTGAGGAAGCTTGGTGAACTTGAGGAAACTTTCTAAGAGGAAGGATAAGGGTCTTTGAGAGGAGTTAAAGTCAGCAAGTCGACTTAGCCTAGGCCAAAGAGGATGGGACGATAACTGTAACGACTTACCGACAAATCGATCACATAGGAATTGGCGACGTAATGGTAGCGGAGGGTCAACACATTCAACTTGAAGGGCATTGGTAGGAGTAGACTTCATTGCACCTAGTACTATTCGCAGGCATTTGTGTTGTATTCGATTGAGTTTTTCTGTGGGAACCTTATTAAAGGGGTCTAAAACAAATGTACCGTAATCAATATGACTACGCACAAGGGAATTGTACAGCAATTTTTGAGTATATGGGTGTGCACCCCACCACACACCGGACACCGCGCGTAGAGCGTTGATGCCCTTTTCACATTTTTTAGTTATGTACTCAGTATGTGCAATTCCATTCAGTCTTTTATCAAGAACGATGCCTAAAAATTTTGCTTTTTCTACTAAACTAATGATATGATTATCATACAACAATTGGAAATTTGGAACTGACCTCCTTCTAGTGAATACAACTGCCTGACACTTAGCCACTGATAGTGACAAGCCATTTTCAGAAAGCCATTGACCTAGATAATGCAAAGCAGTATTTATCCGGAAATTAATGTCCTCTACAGATTTTGAGCTGCAATAGAGGACGATGTCATCAGCATATTGAAGAATATTACAAAAATTATTTACAGACAATTCGAGGTCATGAGTATATAAATTATACAGAAGAGGGCTGAGGACCGAGCCTTGGGGAAGACCTTTCCAGACAAGTCTGGGAGGCACAGTAAGTAATTGATGTTTAACAGATATGGTTCTACCAGTCAGCAACTGACTTATGAAATGTGTCAACCTCGGTGGAATGTTCAGATGATGCATTTTCTGCCTGAGCATTGGAAGAAGAACATTATCATAAGCAGAAGCGATATCAAGAAAAACACCAACCAGATACTCTCCTTGGGCATAGGCTAGTCGAATGTCTGTAGTGAAAATACTGAGACTATCTATTGTACTCAGCCCCTTTCTAAAGCCAAACTGAGAGGGTGCTAAGACATTTCTGCTTTCCACTATCCATTCGAGGCGAATTTTCAAAATCCGTTCAGTTATCTTCGCTAACGTGGATGCTAGCGCAATGGGTCTATAGGAATTTGGATCTGATGGACATTTGCCCGGCTTAAGAATAGAGATTACTATTTGGGATTTCCATGATTCTGGAACAATACCTGACTCAAATAAAGCATTTATTAAATTTAAGAAATACTTTTTGGATCTATTGTTCAACCTTCTAATAAAGGAATAAGGAATACCATCCTCTCCTGGACTAGTATCTTTTAAATCCGTTAAGGAGGTTTCAAGTTCTTCAAATGTAAAAGGACGATCCATTTCATTAATTACAGAAGATGGAGCAGAATACGAATAAGAATCATGTGGGGGAACAAATGGAGGGGCTAATTTATCAGCAAAGTCATTAATCCATACGGAGGGGTTATTGGAGTTAGGACTAGGTACAGAGTTAAGAGATCGACGAAATCTCTTAACATTAGTCCACACAAGAGATGGGGGCGACCGAGGATCCAGGGATTCACAAAAATGTATCCAGCCAAGTTTTTTCTTTTTATGAGCCAATCTTCTAAATTTTGCATCATTGCGCTGATAAACATTAAAATTCTGTACTGTCATAGAGGCTGCATATGACATCTCGGCAGATTTACGCCTATTAACAGAATCAGTGCAATCCTGATCCCACCAGGGATTGGAAGGCAATTGATACTGCGTGGAGCCCTTCTTCGGTATATGAAGATCTGCAGAAGAAATAATAGCAGAGACAAACCGATCATAACAAAAAATGACATTCTCACTATCAATAGATTCAGGAAGGGAGTCCAACATGTGATCAACAGAACTAGCGAAATCATACCAATTAGCTTTATTTAAATTATGTTTAAGAAGAGAATTGGAATTTGAAGAGGAAGGTATATATCCAGTGAATAAAGAAATGAGGATAGGAAAATGATCGCTGCCATAGGAAGAGGAAAGTACATTCCATGATAATTGGGCAGCGAGCGCAGGAGAAGAGAGGCAAAGGTCTACAGCTGATTTAGGATTTTGATTGGGATAAACCCTTCTAGTCGGTGAGCCATCATTGAGGATACAAAGGTTAGTATCATCAATCATGTCTACTAACTGAGGAGAGAATCTATCACAAAAATAACATCCCCACAATGTGTGATGGATGTTAAAATCTCCCATAATCAGTACAGGACCGGGAAGTGAAGAGATAATAGACAAAAGCTCAGGAAAAATCGTAGGAGAAGGGTGAGGAATATATACAGAGAGAAATGATATATTAAGAGCCCTCACAGCAATAGCATTAATATGTTGACTGTGAGATGGAATAGGAATAAGGGAATAAGGAGTGGAGTGCCGGATAAGAATGGCACTGCCAGCATACCCGTCACTTCTGTCCTCCCTTAAACAGGCAAAACCTGGCACCCGGAAACGGGAACCCGGAGTTAACCATGTCTCCGAGAGGGCAATAATGACAGGATTGTGTGTGGAAATAAGATGGATTAATTCATGCTTTTTAGGATGGATGCTTTTACAGTTCCACTGAAGGAAGTTCAGTGGGGCCATTTTTAACTATATTGAAAATTTGCATTAATTTTTGGGCAACGTTGGACGGTAAAGGAACATCATCACAGGAGGATATAATAGAAATGAGAGTTTCAATGAGAGCTAGAAGGAGATCTTTTTTAGGACTGGAGGGATTATCAACACTATTAAGGGCACAGCCATTAGGAAGAGGGGAAGAGCAATTGCTAACAATTGCTTGATGAGCTTGTCTATCATATCCCTTCGCTGGAGGAGCTCGGGGATGTGGTGAACGGAAAACTGTTTGACGATATGAAGTAGAGGAAGAAGGTTGAGGTTGAATTGGGCTAGAGGGAGCATTGGTGTATGAGGGAAGGGTGAACATCTCCTTAGCAACATCTGCATAAGAGCGCTGCACAGAAGGAAAGCGGGAGGCTGCTTCCATATAGGAAACATTCTCTTGTGACATTACCATCTTAATTGACTGTTGCCTAACAAATTCAGGGCAATCTTTGTCTGTGGCAAAATGTTTGCTTGTGCAATGAATACATGTTGAATTCTCTTTAATTATATTACAAGCATCACCCGTATGTGATTGGGAACACCTGTAACACCTTGGCTTAGATCTGCATTGAGATTTAATGTGGCCAAAGCGGCAGCAATTGAGGCACTGTATGGTGGGAAGTTTATATGTCTCAACAGGGAGGGAAGTGTGGTAAGAGTACACTTTCTCAGGCAGCATTTGTCCCCTAAATGTCATTGCAACTGACTGAGTCGGTACCCAGGTAACAATACCTTCATTAACATTCTTCCGATTCAAACGTCTTGCTTTCATGACCTTACCACAACCAGGAGGAAGTTCTAATGACTCGATAAATTCATCCATTGCCCATTCAACAGGGACTCCTTTGATAAGACCCATTCGAGTAATATTAAAAGTGGGAATAACTGCTACATATTTACACATACTAAGAACTGGGTTCTTTAAAAAGTTATTAGCAGCCTCAGCAGAGGAGAATTGGACAGCGATTTTATTGCGTCCGACATTCTTAACTCCATCATTAATTATATTGGGGATTTTATGGTTATGCAAAAATTGACCAAACTTGATGGCTCTTACTGTTGTTCCAGCTGCAGGGTCAGGAGTTTCCCTAGAGACATAGACTATAAATGGACCTTTATCATCGTCATTATAGGAAGAAGGACCTTCGGACATAGAGGGATGAATATACACACTTTGGATTGACGGGGTGGCAGTATCAGGATTATGTATAGTTTTTTTAGCTGTCAAATTTGCATCGGGAGTTGAGTTCTCCCCTTGGCGTTTACGAGAAACACCCACAGTACTTAACAAAATGGAGCCTCCGGGATCCGGGGGCTCCGACGGTGGATCACCATCCATCCTTAAACCTAACTTACCTTTATTTAGAACACACACAAATAAATATAACAACCAATCACCAACAAAAACCAAAATTCAGTACACCTTTAACACTTAATTATAATAAAAACTTAAAAGAGAAATGATTAATATAGAAAAAAAGCACCGATCTCACTAACACGTGTGTAAGCCAAAACAAACGTCTAGCAAGTCGTACCCGATATTCATTTGTTCATTAACATTGTTATAGGCATTGTCATAGGCAGAATGTTGCCATCAATGCCATCGTATTTATATAAATCTAATTAAAAAATAATTATTATTTGACACCTTATTATTGCCTCTTTAATTCATTTATTTTAATTTATTAAAATTAAAAGAAGAAGAATAAATTAAAAGATGTAAAATATGATGACTATGCTAACCAATGTCTAAAATGTCATTCATTGGTTCATCGATATGTATTTTATCGATTACGTTCAAGCACTAGAAATATTGTATTGTGTATCAGTGTTTATAATAATGTAATAAAATCTTTGTGTGCGTTATGCGTCACTTGGTTGAACTAGTTTTCATACATTTGTATTTTATGTCAGGTCAAGTCTCTAATTCGTTCATGATCACAATATATATATTTTTTAATATTTCTTATTCAAATACTACTCAATAACAATACTAAATACTCTTTGAACAAATATTATATCTATTATAAATTTTTGTCCGTCTGTCTGTTTTGTGTATTTTTGTCCGGGGTAATCTTAGGAACGACTTAACCGACTGTAATGGGACATTCACTAAAAGATAGAGGATTTTGTAGGGGTACATACATATTTCGAAAATATTTAGAGTTCCATAGATATATAGAGACAGATAAGAGACATATAGAGAAAATTTCATAAGCCCTTAGAAATTACGCAAAATTCTACGTTTCTAAGGTGCTAGGGACGCACCCGAGCGAAGTGAGATACTCGATATTTCACAAACTATTTCATTTTATAAAATTACGTACACTAATTAAAGTGTTAGTTAATACAGTTAAATACGTATGTACAAAAACAAAGTAAATATTCCCTTTTGTAACTGATATAACCAATTCTTAAAATCCAAACAGCACCATAGTTATATGAATACGCAGTACCGAGGTACATATTTATTACCAAATGGCAGATTTTTCAAGCATTTGTAATATTGGAAAATAATGTTTATTTGACTGAAGAATCCATGGTTTCATTTTCCTTTTTCTTAGGCCGGAATCTTTTCAAAATAAGAATATAAGTTTGTATGTATGTACAAGTTGTTAACTTACAATTTTCGAAAAGAAAATATCTTCTTCTTCTATACTATAATAAAAGAGTAGAGGTCGAATGTCTGTACATATCAAAAAAATGCTAAAAACCGAGTCAGGGCGATATAAGAAGACAAATAGTACAAATCGAGATTTTTTTCAATTTTTTTTCTTTCTCTGTCTGTTTGTCTGTTTGTACGGGCTAATCTCCGAATCTATTGGACCGATTTGAATGAAATTTTGCATGGTAGTACCTTATGGTCCCCGGGCAACATCTTAGATACTTTTTATCCCGGAAAATTAAATAGTTCCCGTGGGGTAGTTAAAAAACTATAATAACTTATACAGCTTAGTACACAACAACTTATGCACCTAATTTAGTCAAATTTAACATTCTGATACCTTATATTGCCGGTCAAACAACAGGTTACTTTTCATCCCGGAGAAATAAACAGTTCCCGTGGGAACTAATAGATCTCTATTAATCTATGATCTAGAGGCGAACCCGAGCGAAGCGAGGGTGAGCCGCTAGTGAATAATAAAAATCATACTATAATATTCCTTTGTATTTTATAAGTCATAACCATTACTTCCCTTTTCCTACTAAGAAAAATAGCATAATATCAGCTTAGTTATTTTTCATTCTTTATTATAATAAATTCTGTATTTTTTTATTTACCACAGTAATGAGTATTCTAATAATATTTGTATATTTTCAACTTTCCTATCGCTACCAAGTTTCATTTTCTGGGCAACTGCCTCTCATTTTCTGGGCTAAATTGAAGATTGCCTGAAAATCACATCAAAATCGCTCCAGCTGTTTTAGAATCCATAGGGAACATACTACTTACACATATCAATTTTAATATAATTAATTTATATTATATCTTCATCATAATCTGAATTTTGTCGTTGTCATTTCGTTGTCGTCGTCAACATTGCGTTTATTTTGACATAATTAAATAAAAGTAGTTTTAATATTGGACAATAATTAGCTCATTAATTAAAGAGTAAATTTTAGGCTTAAAATATGCTGTCCAGTTTAAAAATTAATAGTAATCTAAGCTTATAAAATATAAAGAAACAAATTGTTCAAATTTCCCGCAAAATTATATACACACAGATAAAACATCGTTAAACAAGCTATCCCACATTTTATTTAATTTTATGCACTAAATGTGCATGTGTGTGTAGGAAAAGTAAATTAAGTATATGGCCAGAAATAAGTTTTTATTATCATTATAGGTGTAAAATCCTTATTTTAAATGAATTATATTTTTTTATCAGTATTGACATTTTATCTATTCTATACTCTATCTGTTTGTTTTTAAACTGTTCATTACAAAATACAGAGTACAAAACTGAATTGATCCAATTTGTTTGTTTTGCTCCGATAAAATTGATGTTATTATTAATAATATAAAATAGTTAGTTAAAAAGTGTAATAGTGTTTAAGTTAATACCACTTAAGCTTTATAATATGAAGTGATCTTGACATGATGCGGCGAGGTCATACAGGAATAGGTGGATGGCGCAATGAAAATCCGAGGCATTTTAGGCCTCGAAACGGCGGTAATCCACATTTCAGGACATCCAGAAACTTTAGACTATTGGATACACCAAGGTTATTTATAATCTTTACTAAATATGCTTAGAAATAGTCCCTGCCGCCTACAATGTCAAACGTTACAAAATTGCTTACCTACAAATTTTTATAATTTTTCAAATAACGCTGATCTTTCAGAACTATTAAAAGGGCTAAAGTTTTTAATTGTTTAAATTCACATATTACCTGAATAGGCAGGTAAATAATAAGTTTATACTTTATTCTTATTTCCAGATTCCCGCCACCGAGTTCAAGGTCAATACGACCACAGTTTCATACTCATTCTGAAAATCAAGAACAAAACATAAGTGATCATTCAGATAGAAATAGATATAGAATTAATAGACACAATCGACACAATGATTACCAGAAAAAACATCATCATGGTGAAAGACAAATTTTACCAATGTTGCAACAATCTAGACATAGCATTGATAATCACAGAAACACTTTTTCTGATTCATCGAACTGTTACGAAAACAATGCTATACATGTTAATAGCATGGGTGATGTGGACCATCGTCAATTCAATACTCATATGAGAGAACCTTATAGACAAGGTCCCTTCATAAATCCATGGGAGCCAGACACTAATATACAACAACCTATTGAAAGGTCTCACAATAAACCCCATAGTTCAGAAGGAGACGTATATAAAGCATCAGCTTATACTGGACACAGACCACCAGCGTCTGATCACTATGGCTGTAATCCTACACATTCATTTTCAACGAGTGACAACTCTCGCACCTTTAGTCGCTCTGTAGATGATACTGTTGATATTGTAAGAAGGAGATTGCTAAACCGCAATGAAGTTCAAAGTGTATCAGAAAATTATGATAATAATCAAAATACTACTGATTTTGAAAATCAAAGACTAACAGACTGTACACCAACAGACTGTTTACCAAATAATCAGCAAGAACAGCCAACAAAAAAAAGATATCAAAAACAAAAACACATTGAAAAGTCCAATTGTGCTAAAATCAAAAATAAAATTGTGCATCAGCTATTCAAGATGGATAAAGAGAAAATTCATAAGCTCATGGACAATCCAAATTCTTCTCATAAATTTGAATATGCTATCAGCAGTCTTATAACAGAATCGCAGAATAGCTTTAACAAGCACTTAAGGTCAGCTGCTGAAAAGTCTCTCTGTAGTACAAGTGCAGAGTTTATGCAAAACGATAATAACACCATATATGAAGACACATTTCTAAAACAAATGCAATGTATTCTTGATCCACAAGATACAGTATTCCTTGAAGATATAAAACCAATTGTAATGGCAGAGTTAACTAAAGTTTTGCAAATTGATGAACTGGAACAAAAATTCAATGTAAGTGAAGATGAGCAATTATATGTACATTCAGAAAATACTCATACTTATAACCAATATCCAAACCAGAGTTATAATCAATATGGCTATGAAGACTATCCTCAAAGTAGTACATATTCACATAATTTATCACATACACGAAATACAAGACCTAAAAGTGCTGAGGGCATTGCTGACAGTAATATCTCATATGAAAACAATAAACAAAACTATGATGCGTCTCAACCTATTTTTCACAGACAACCAAGAAGTAAAAGCTATAATTACCATGAAGTGAGTACATCGTCTGTAAATGAATTTTACCATAGACCTCATCATGACAGTGAATCTGTGGAAGATGTAAAGAGGACAGCACAAGAACAATATTTTAATACAAATACTGAGCAAATATCAGAAGAGGATGACCCATTTGCAGAATTAGATCAGCAATATCATGTTGCCGTTGATCATGATTTTATAGAAAATGATGATATTCCTATTCCTAATCAGAGTAATACATATAATATAGACTCAAATATTATAAAAAATGAATTAAAAGTTGAACCTGACTCACCAGATAAAAGCTCTAAAATCATGGTTGATATTATTGACAGTCAGTTACAAGATACTGCTAAATCACCTCTAAAATCATTTCTCACAGCAAACACATGTACCTCTGAAAATTCGAAAAATGACAGGATGAAAGCAATATCAGATATATCAAATTCTAGTAACTTGCTATTACAAGATAAAGATATCAACAGTGTACATGAAGATAGAAATGAAAAGTTTCATTCTGATTCTAAAGACATGACTAAAGATGGGGACAAAAATGATAACCCCGCATATACATTAAAGTCTTCTACATCATTAAATTCCCGTAAAAGATCCATCGATCAAAGACCTTCTCACAGGAAAGAGAAGCGGAAAAAAGTGGAATCATGTCAATCTGAATCAGTTTTGAATAAAAATATTATTATAAATGTAAATGATTGTGCGTCTAAGGCCTCAGAAAAGTGTGAAGCACCAAAGTCAATATTTAATTTATTTTTTTCTAAAGAAGAAAATAAAACTGCATCCAAGGATAATAAAAAAGTCGTTTCAAATGATAAAAATTATACAGAAAAGCATGTAAAAAGAAAAGAAACTCCTAAAAAGCCAACCAACATAAAAAATAGAAAAGACTCCACTTCGAGTCAACCCACAAGCCCCACTGAAAATAACTCAAATAATAGTAATCAAACTCCAACAAAACAAGACTCAAAGATAACGCTTAAAACAATAGATATGTTTACTGAACAACCACGAAAAATAAATGTTAATCGTCATCACGCCCATAGGAATACCGCTCTTATACCAAGTGGAGTTCCAAAAATTGGCATTGAAAAGACAGAAAAACCAAAGGTACCCTTTTCCCGACAGATAATTAAAAGACATGTTGCTGTTCAAGTCTTTAAAAAATATCCCTCGAAAGTAACACAAACTGAGCGAAAAAAATTTGCTACTAAAGCTGTACAAACAGATTTAATTGTATCTGAAAAGCCTGGTATCAAATCAAATGACGCATTTGAAAGAATGAAAGAAATCGATCTAGAGATACAAGTTTTGCTCCAAGAGAAGTTTAAATTATATAACTCAATCGAAGCCAAGGAATCTGGTACAAATTCGATGCAAACATTGGGAATGACAGTATTAAATGTAAACCCATTTGATGAAGAAAATGAAATTACATCAGATGTTCTAGCCGAGGACACTATAGTTGACGATTTTACAAATATACCAGTAGAAGAACTTGAGAAAATAGCCCTGGAAAGCGTTAGTCATGAGCAAATAAACGAAACACCAAAATTGGAAAAAAGAGGTCGTCGCCGAAAAATTTCAAGAAATGACTCTATTAAATCAGCAAGCCCTGTGTCAGTCGGCAGGAGAAAAAACAGTAAACCTAAGTCACCAAATATATCACTGATAGAACAAATTATTACTGATGACAGACCACTAGAAGATATAATATCTTTAGATGATTTAGAAGTACCACAGATCAAAACAAAGAGTAAAACTCAAAAGAAACAAACTGCGAGGAAAAGAAGTCATTGTAAAAGATCTCCCGCAACTAATATTGAAATGAAGGATTGCTCAGTTGTGTTAATGAGAATTGATTGCAGTCAGTATATTAATCGTACGCAATCTCATGAAGTTGAAGCAGAATCTGTCGAAGAAGATGAGTCAAACAAAAAAGATGAAAACACGATAAATGTAACAATAGAAACAGAAAGACAAACATCCATAAAGCATGATGAAAATATTTTTGTGGAAAGTGTTGTTAACGATTTAGATATTGATATGTTAGATGTGTCAGAGGACATTGTAGTGGGTGACAGCTGCGAAGTTAAAAGCTTAGAAGATAAGGAAGCTATTGAATCGGTACCTGTGCCAATTAGTGAAGAAATTATCTTAGATAACAGTCAATCATCTTTGGAAGAGGCGTTGCCAGTTATGAGTCAAGGCGATGAATGCAAAGTGTACGATTACTCCGCAGATGAAAACTTGCGTCGCGATTCTGTGGTCGTGTCAGGCAATGCTGATGCAGTTCTAGCCATAGAGGTTAGTATGAAAACCCATATTATCATTACATATTAGAAATTTAAACCCCCTTGCGCTAAGCTTGTAAACACAAGCTTCGCGCTAATTTCAAAAACTACTGTACAGATTTTAATACAGTTTACATCAATAGGAAAAGGGGTTTTCTAGTCAAGTTCTAGGTTATATATGATTTATAAACATATTGGAAAAATACCGATATGATGATAGTTGTAATTTAAGTCATAAAAACTCTTCCTTTCTGAAAATTATTTAATATCATAAATTCAAAGGGCATCTTAGACATAGACTTTTGTTTTTGAGTTTAGATTATCTTCCAGGATTAGAAGTAGGGTAGACAAAATATTTAAATGAACATTTTAACATATATTTTTTTATTCTTACACTATTTTGTAAAATATGTATTATATAGCTACTTATTATAATTCGACATGTTTCAGTGTGTGGAAACAAACTTCCTAGCGGCGTGTTTAGACGGCAACGTCTATTACTTTAACAGTGAAGGGCAGCTTATCACGACCTTGCGGGGGTCGAACCTTGCTGTGACATGTTTGACCATCGTCAAGGAAAAACATGGAACAACTGTGTATACAGGATCATTGGATTCTCGAATACGCTATTATGATTTGGAGGTAGACATTTATCGGCTTGTTTCTACCAATTTAAGATAGACTTCCGTCGTTCAGTTGCTAGTACTAATAACTGAACATTATTACTGTAAATGATGCGGGTTCGATTCCTATATAGTGTATTTTGACCCATTCTGTTTTTGTCTGCTCAGCGCTAAACAATTCTATGAACATATATAAAGTATGTATAAGTGGGAATAAAATAAACATTCAAGTATTCTCCTATTATATGTAGTTTGATTGCATTTATATTATTTTGAATTACGTTATATTAATTTGTTTTTTTATGATTCTGATGATAATTATTTGTGTCTAATTTATATTAAATGCTTCATTTTATTTGAATGTAAAAAAAATATTTAACTTAAGTTACTTTTGTAATTTCAGACTGGCTTAGAAAAGGGACCCGAGTGTAATGTTTTAAGTCCAATACAAACTATGGATAGGGCGTGGGACACCGTGTTTGTGGGCACGCGGACCGGTTTTGTGTTGCAGTTTGAATGCAAGGTACATACAGATTAATTTACAATTCTTTCAATTACTTTTGTAGGTAGCACAATCGGTTCATCCGTTTGGATGCTACGTTGCATACATACAGACACGCAGATACGCATCTTAAATTTATAACACCTTTTTAATTTGCGTCGGGGATTAAAATTAGCTATCCCATTAAAAGCATAACTACCAACCAACAAACTAATAGGGATGCTCAAGATGTTCGTATTTTGTACTCGTCTAATTCAAATGATAACTGGCAATTTTTATTCAAAATATGCAGAGAGAAATATTTTTAAACTTCATTTTACTCTTTACAAAAGTAGCCAAATTATATTTCAACCAAATAAATTATAAATATGCCTAATTATTATCCTGCTATAATTCATTACATAAGAAAGGCAAAGGTATTGATATGGTCTCTGTTTAGTATTTTTTATATGGCATCATCTTAGGTCGGGTTTGAAATGACAGTCGTCAATGGCATTCTGTATTCGTCGGTCGGTGGAAGAGCTCCCCTTTTGAATTGTGTCGGTTACAAAGAAAATCAAAGTATTTCGGTCGGATTGATTAATGGGCTTATATATTATATTCTACATACACACAAAACACCCCTAGTGATAGTGCCTACGCAGGATTGAGGATTCCGGGCCCGGCAACGCTTCCACGGCTAAGTCCACGTACAAGGTACACAATATATATTATAATTTATTAGCGTTAGTTTTATATATTTTACTCCGCGTAACGCGGATCATACAGTCTCATTTCCGCCCCAAAATAATGTAAAAAATTATGTCATATGATTTGACATATTCCGAAAGTAGACTGTCTTCTTCTGCCTGGCATTATTAATCCCGGTTATTGCCGGGGTCTGCCTTCCTGCTAAGTCTTCTCCACTTTGCACGGTCTTTAATATCATTCTGTGTAAGTCCATTGGCTCTCATGTCCTGCTTCACGACATCCAGCCATCGCTTCCTTGGGCGCCCGGGAGGTCTTGTTCCAGGGACAGACATATCAAGGCACTTCCTTCCAACATAGTCCTCAGACCGACGTGCGATATGGCCATACCACCTCAGCCGACGCTCTTGGAGCTTATCCTCTACGTCACGGACCCCGAGACTACCCCGGATAAACGTATTGCGTATGCGGTCAGCCCGCGTTACACCACACATCCACTTCAGCATCTTCATCTCCGTGACGTGAAGCTCCTGAGTGTGCCGAGATAGCGCTGGCCAGCACTCGCCCCCGTATAAAAGGACCGGTCGGATGATGCGAAAGTAGACTGTGTGCTCTATATAAAAAAAAGGAATTGAAATGTTACTGAAAATATCTCATTTTGAATGAAAATCCCAGTTAAACTAAGTTTGGCGTGTAACAAGTAGTATTAATTGTACTTTTTATTCTTTCATAAAAATATTTTATTATGGTACACAGTCTACATTCAGAATATGTAAAGAAAGGGACAAATCATATCATATATCTTTTTTCGTTATTCTGGGGTGGAAATGAGGCCTTATCAATACCTTAGCCTTTATACATATGTCCTAAATTCTCTTTGCAGAACAACATGTTAATACCGGTCAGTTCAGTGAAGTTTTCGGACCAATCAATTCTGGCCCTTAGAGCTATGAAGGAGGGGCCACGTAAAGTCCTCCTCGTGGCTGCCAGATCTGAGAATGTAACCATAAAAGACGCACAAACTGGTCTTTTACTAAGAACTCTAGCTGGTCCCAAGATGACTGTATATACACTGCTGTACGAAGATGGGAAGGTGTACTGTGGGACCAGCAATCATCAAATACATGTATTTGATTATACAGTGAGTATATTATGTAGTTATGTTTAACTGTCGTGGTGGTATAGTGACTAGCATGTACGGTCGCAGATGCTGAAGTCCTGGGTTTGAGTCTCAGTACTTTCAGAGTGAAGCGGGTTCAAATCGGGTCTCGCATCTCAGATATTTTTATGTGCGAATTATTTCCATCATGATTACCACTTATCTAATACGGTGAAGGAAAACATCTTGCGGAAAACGTTTGAGAGAACCTAGTAAATTGTCGAAAGACATGTGAAGTCCTCCCATCCACACGTGGTCAGCGTGATCCCCCTTGTAATAAATGGAGGTCCGTGCCCAGCAGAGGGATATTAAATAAAAAATATGTTGGAACATTAACAAACAGCACCATCTAGTTCCATGGTAAGCTACGAGGCTTGTGTTAAGATACCAGATAGTTGAGACACTATACAAACATATATATCTTTAAATACATACATGTTATAAATATAAACACCCATGACTGCAGTACAAACATTCGTGCTCATCACACAAATGAGTGCCCCCAGCGGGACTCGAACCCGCGACCGCTCGTCACTGAGCCAAACATGTCATCAATACATAATATACTGATTTCTAATACTAATTTCTTGTTCTAGAGCGGTAGTCACGTGGGCACACATGAGGGCGGTAAGGGCGCGGTGTGCCTGCGCGCCACCGGAGGCCTACTGTTCGCGGGCTGCTACGACGGCTGCGTGTATGTGTACAGGGAGGGCGAAGGGCAGCCCTTCGCGCAGATACGGGGGCCTAGCCTCATGTTGCTCTCTTTGGCTGTCGTCGGTAGTAAGGTAAGACTGGTTCATTTTTTTCTGTATATACATATATGATCTTTCAATGCATAGCTCAAACCGCTGAATGGATTAGGTTGTAATTTAGCACACAGAGTAATTATGATAGGTTAAGAATGGATTGTGAAAAATCAGCCCATAAAGGAGTGAGATGGGGGTTGGAAATATGTACAAAGAAATCATAATATAAGAGAGACATATCAATCCAAAAATTCCCAGGTTTACTTCTGAACGAATAAAGAAACGTGTTTCGTGCTTTTTAGTTTAAATACCAAACTTGGTGTAAGCCACGGGCAAAAGCTGATAATTAATAATTTTCACAATTTCACAATCTGCCACTTTGAATATCTGATGTAACAACTACTTGACTACCAAGAGATTAGTCGTAGGAGCTACGTATGCGTCATGCTCTGCCTCTGCATGAGAATGTAACAAAGTCGGGTTCCTTCTGAGTATTTCTTGATTGAAAATTCTGACAGTGAAAAAGTAACCTGAGATCTGATACTAATTCATATCAATGGTGCAATGATGTTGTTGCAGTATTAAATTATGATGAAACTATCCTTTTAATTTTTCATATTTTTTTTCAAAAACGTGTCCCGTTAAAAGTCTTATGCAATGTCATTATTGTATGTATTATTGTATTATTGTATCACCTGTACCACCTAAAATATGATATACTGTAAATTTAAAAATAATTGTTGCAGATTATCGCTGGTTATAAAGACAGAAGTTTGTACATATGGAAGATACCACTATGTATTTTACAAGAAATGATTCTATAATTTCCTACAAAGCCATGTAGATTGCGCACCGTAATATTTTTAGTTATTTTCACTAATTGTTTAGATTTAATGATGTATTTTAATTAATAAAGTAATATAAATGGGTTACAAACTTTATTTCATTAATATTGGGTTACTTTAAATATATGTTCAAGCTAAATCTTTTAGCAATTCCTCATTTTTTTTTCTAACTTAAAAATAATTTAGTAAAAAAATTATAAAGTTCTGGTTGTATTTAACAGCTGTTTTTTTTTCATAAAATGTTACTAGTTTTACCTTTTTGTTATGCATATAAGATCACAAAAATGAGCAGAATAAATCCTATTATAATAAACATTGTATTGTATTCAGCCCTGTTTTTAACGTCACACTGCACGAAACGAGTCTCGCTCTACACTGGGGGATCAGACCATTGCCCACCACGCTAGCTAAGTGTAGGATGGCGGTGGACATAAGTGTTATGATAAATATCTTAACACATATCTATATTGGCATAATTTCACGAAACCCGTAACATAAAAAAAAATATTTTTGTTACTTATATATTATCCGGAAATTAGGAAGAAATGAAAATTATTTTAATTAAATAGTGTTTATGCAAAATTAATAAAAGAAAAAATAGATCACCATGAATATATTCTGATTTAATAAAAAATACCCAAGTAAAGGAATAACACATGAACCTTATAAAATAACCGTGTTGTTTATGATTGAAATATCAGTTATGAATTATGAAGTTCTTGCTGCGTATTCATAGATGGCGCTGTTTAAAATTTATTTGTTTTTGCAACGAGAAAAGTAACCAGAATTAATTAGGCCGTCCAATATATCGAAAGAGTAATATTTTCCTCATAGTGAATTTGGTATATATTTCTGACACGACAAATAAATATGCTCATGTTTAGAATATACACGGAAAAGTCATAAGTAGATAATTAAAAGAGAGGCAGATATATAGATTGTAACAATTTAACTCTATTAAAAAATGTAGCAGTATAATTAGATATTTGCCTGAAGATTTAAAAAATAATATACAAAATAGGTTTTATTGTACTGCGGTAATTCATTGATAAAATTCTTATACTCTATAAATACTTATTATATTGTGATATAAAATTAAAATCAACAATTTTATAAAAATAATAAATTAAAGTAGTATTTTATTTTAATGATAAAACATATTTATCAGTAATTTACAATTTCAGAACGCAATTAATTTTTGCCAAGTGGCACTCCTGCCATGAAGTGGATTTCTGACTTACGTCAGTGTGGGTGTCTCAGTGTCGGCGGCATAGAGTATATTGCTACATATATAAAGTCGGCGGCCATTATTCTACGTATAATATTATAATTTTTTTGTGTTTTGCACTGTACTTTATTCGAAACAAAGAACTTTAGAATATATAACAAACTGTTCTATAGCAATATTATTGTTATAATACAATTATAGTACAAAATGAATCCAGAATAGTAAGTATTTTTTTAATATGATGTGTGAAACAAGGATGGGCAGAATTTCTATTCAATTTTAGCATGTTCATTTAGTGAAGAACTATTAATCTACTTTATGGTAATAATAGATTTGATATATTTTAAGATTTGTATTATAGTTCCAACAGCAAAATGGACAATCGAATGGTGACTCATTACGATCTTAGTACCAACAAAATCGAAACGTAATCGTGAAAATCTGTGAAGGGTGTACTAAAAATGTTGCTTTTTACTTCCGCCTGTGTAAAAAATATATGCCAAGAATAGTGTTCGACTTTGAGTGTATTTTGCTCTGTATTTTGTTTTCTTTGTTTAACAAGACAAAGGTACGCCTCCAGCGAGGTCGAAGATTTATGCGTGTTTATCATTTCATACTTATTGACGTTTATTGTGCTTTGGCATCAGGTGAACTGTGAATAAACACAAATGTCATTGTTTTTAGCGATTACCTCTTCAAACTGCTCTTGATTGGTGACTCTGGTGTGGGGAAATCATGTCTCTTGCTCAGATTTGCTGATGATACTTACACAGAAAGTTATATCAGCACTATTGGAGTTGACTTCAAAATTAGGACTTTAGATTTAGATGGTAAAACAATAAAATTACAAATATGGGACACAGCCGGTCAAGAAAGATTTAGAACAATAACATCATCTTACTACAGAGGAGCACACGGAATCATCATTGTTTATGATTGCACAGATCAGGTAATTACAGTTGCTAATGCTAATTTATTTATTAAGAATGAAGCTAACTAGTCTTGTAAAAAACTTAATTTTAATTACTAGTGGAAAATAAATTCATTTTTATATCCACTTTTAATTTATAACTACTGCTTTTGTAACACATTAAAATATCAATTTTTTACTATTAAATTAATATTCCCATGAAAATATTATTTTCTATAATAAAAGAAAATATAATCAAAACTTTAAGAAAGTTAAAACTATAATGTCATATAAATATAGTGTCTGCCTTTGGTTTCACGGTCCTTCACTTGTATGTATACTTGTTTTGTCAACACTCTCAGCATGCTGCTGCTTTATTTGATTGTGTATAAAACAGAACTCAAGCTTTATCTTGGGACTTCCTTAATCCATTGAAATTGTATAAAAATATTCTAAATATTCTAAAACCACAAGTTTTTCCTTAACACAACAATAGAGTTGCAATTAGAATTTTATTATTTGTAGAGATAGCTTGATTAAACCATTATCTACAGAGATATATAATATTAAAGTATCTGTTTATAATGTCAAAATGCTTTTTACTAAATACATGGAAATTATATACAGTACTTATAAGAAAAACATAATTTTTTTTTTTCCTCTGTAAGTTTGTACTTGCTCTAAAGTGTCTGGATCGATTTTGACAGAACTTTCACTGACGTATAGCAGAGATTATAAGGAGTAACTTAGGCTACTTTTATTTTAGAAAAAGAATTAGGGCTCTGCTCAAAAAAATTAAAACATACCTAGAGACACACCCGAGCTAAACTAGGATATGTCGCTAGTATCAACTGTCAGTGAGTTAGGTGTGTAGTGTATACCTTAGAGCACAGGTTAAACTCAATGATTTTGATTTCCAAATATTTGCATTTTTAGACTAAATGATTTTTAAAATCAGTTAAATAATATATTGAAATATAAATTTAATTATGATATCATTGTAGCATTAAATTGTCTAATTAAACTTCTAAGTTTGATATGTTAACAATAATAAATATGCCATTAAAAAAAATAATTAATTATTCATCTCATGTCTCTCAATAATAATGAATTGTCAAATAAGCAGCAGCCAATGAGTAGAGCCATATTGGCTCATATTACTACTGACAAACATTAATTAGGTTATCATATCACATCATTTAAATTGAATGAAGATAATTTTTTATAAAGGTAGAGGCTTACAGATGTAATTAAAATACCAGTAATTTATTAAAATAACCTGTAATATGTATTCTAATATAGTAAAACATGATTTTTAGTCATTTTGTGAACTTTTCCATATTCACAGTTCAAATAACTTGTTGCCTGTATCTTTGTAAATAAACCAAAATGTTACTTTTTAGCTGCATTTAGTACTAATTTTGGTATAAATAATAGTTATAAACTTTTTGAAGCAGCTGTTTTTTATATGTTAAATAACATGGTAAACTAAACTACTAAATTAAAATGTATTTTTTGATTTATAATTAAAACTTAATAATATGTCCTATGTTATTAACTTTTATAACACCATGATTTTTTGTGAGTGACAAGGTATTAGAGCTACATTATTGAATTAACCAGACTACTATTACAAATCCGAAATTCTGTGTGTATTATTTTTTACTTCTTCAAGCTAAAACGACTTGTATTCAGCTCTTTTTAACGTCCCACTGTAAGGAGAGATGCGAATTCCGGGATTTCAACCCCCTTCATTCGGTTTAGCAAGCGAGCGCGTTACCACTAGGCTACCACTGCCTCGAAAACGACTTGACGAATTTGAATGAAATTTAATACACACACATTTAAGTATACTACCTGGAAAGAAAGGCTATGGTTAGGCACCCGAGCAAAGCCAGGATAAGTAACTATTTGTGCATATATAACACGCTTTAAACTATTTATCCTCGCAGGACTCATTCAGCAACGTCAAACAGTGGCTAGAAGAGATCGACCGTTACGCCTGCGACAATGTCAATAAGCTGCTTGTTGGCAACAAGTGCGATCTTACTACAAAGAAAGTTGTTGACTATACTACAGCTAAGGTATTATTTTACTTATCTATACATATGATAAAATTCTGAGTCGAATCTGTAGGTACATTAAATATTTTTTGGAAAATCTTATTGAAATAGTCATTATTATCGATACAGAGGCTGAATCTAAGTAGAATTATTGTCTGTCTATCTGTCTGTGACTGTATCACGAGAAAACCGGGACAGGAGGACAGATTTTGATGAAATTTGGTATGATGATAGCTGGTTAACCGGGTCAATATATAGGATACTTTTTACTGCAGGAAAATATCTCATCTCTGGGAAATCTATACTAAACATTAAAATGTTGAATAAAATTTGCATCAAACTAATACTGTGTGTGTATGTTGATTACTTCTGTAATGCGGACTTACACAGAATGCAGACAGAAAAAGTTTAGCTTATCATGAATTATGATAAAAGCTACTTTTTGTGGTAATACCTTTCATGTGAGCAAACCCGCAGGCAAATAATAGTTTAGATAAGTAATACACCATTAAATAAAAAGCTGCATTGTCACAACAACAAAATAATAAGTTAATCTCAAGGTGTTTGGATCTAGAATAACTTTTCTGTAAATTCCAAGAAAAATCTCTGATTTCTGCATTATATTCTAGTTCTCAGTGGCTCTTCAGAGAAAACTTCTAACTCGACTAATGTTTTTAGTATATATTTATTTATGATCTTATAAAAATGTTTCGTAATCTTAGAAGTTCTCAGTTACACTTGCAGATTACGTTTCGTCTAACATTATATTATTAAGATACGTATTTAATTGTTATAACGGGTTATTATGAATCCTACTAACATTATAAATGTGAAAGTTTGTGAGGATGGATGTTTGTTACTCTTTCATGCCAGAAGACTGAACGGATCTGGATGAAATTTGACACAGAGATAGATTATATTCTGGAATAGCACATAGGTTTTTTTCATCCCGGAAAAGTGTACGGTTCCCGTGGAATAGATTTGTTTTTGTATAACAGCTAGTTCTACATTAATTGCATATTCCACTTTTATTATTTCATATTTAGTGAATTATTAGATAAGGAAGATCAACGCCCACCGTTGTCTTTGTTTACTATGTAATACGTGTCATGAAACTTTCAACTACAAAAAGCTATTCCTTGCATTTCAAGGGCGTTAAACTTTTCTTACATTAAGTTGGGTTTTAGCAACATTTGTAAAAATATTCTGATCTTTTCATATTGTATTGTGTCGTAAAAAAATGATAATTGTAGCGATTTCTCAATTCGTTCATTAAATTTCTATTGCCTCGGGTTTTAATTGACTTCCTCCATATATATTATTAACTCGAGTGAGAATAGAACCGATAAACTACGTCATTATATTAAAAATTTTGCTTGCAGATTCACAAATAACGGCGTTAGCACGGAGGTCTTATTACATATTGATATCTACTCGTATAATCCATAGCAAGTTTTTATTGTTTAGGAAAGTCTTTTTCGTCTCAATTTTATTATGATAATTAAAATATATGACTCATCACTACCCACTATTCACGATACATGTGTCAAATACGTCACAGTTTGTGTTGTGATGTACTGTATTTGATTGTATGTTTGGATGGATATAAATAATACCCATATTCGTCAATTACTCTAAAACTAATAAATAAACAATAAAATAAGTTGTAACTTGTGCAGATAAGTTTGGTATTAGAAATGGCGACTCCTAACTATAGGTATATTTGAATCTTTGGAATCGATTTTAATATAATCCTAAATTTTCTTTTTAAATTTGTTGTTTGTAAGTATGTGGAATCGGAGTGATATTACAATAATTTGATACTATCGAGCTGGTGACGACATCCGGAAATGGATAAAGGAAGTTTTCAATGGCTAGTAGAAAAACTTTGGGATTCATTCGATTAATTGTTTTGACGAGTTGACCATACAATTACGCTAAACAAAAGTTACGAATCCAGTCTAGGGCGTCTAGATAGGAACGTCGTGGGGGCGAGTCAGGTGAAACGCGATCGAGGCTTTCGATTGTCATACTAACTTTTATATGACAGTTGGGAGAAGGCTTTAGGTTATAATTGTAACTTGGTGAGAAATGATATTACAGCGCTTTAACTTTTTGCTATTTTTTTACAATCCTTACACTTCCCGTAATTTCCGTTAAGGTCAAAGATCTTTTGTATCCCTTTTTATGTATTCCGCCCTTTTTTCTCTAGCTCAATTATAATACGAGGCCTATGGATCTGGAGGCCTGAGGATCAGGCCCTAGTCCAATCTTTTTAAAACTTGCTAGATTCTCGCGGACATACAGGTTTTCTTGCGATCTTTTCCTTCACCGCCAGATAAATAAATGGTTGTCGTCTTGAAAATGATTCGCCCATGAAAATATCAGATTACAGGATTCGGGATTTTAGTTTTAAACCCACTTTTAGTTGTTTCGCAAGCGAGCACGTTACCACTAGCCTATCACTGTTTTATAGAATGATATATTTTTATACTTTCTTATCTTATAATATTAAATGAGCAATTCTTGTTTATATATACATTTATTTCATGCATCTCGGACACGGTTCCAACGATTTAGATGAAATTTTGTATTTAGAAGAGGTTGCGCTTTTTAAGTTTAACTATATAGGAATATTATGGAAAAAAAAAACACAATTGTACAAAACAAAACTCGGACCGAAGCTCGTTCGTCTAAGTACTGTTATATTATATAACTTTGTAATATCTATCGACAGCAATATGCGGAACAGCTAGCGATACCGTTCCTCGAGACGTCAGCGAAGAACTCTACGAACGTGGAGCAGGCGTTCATGACGATGGCTGCGGAGATCAAGGCGCGCGTGGGCCCGCCGTCGGCCGGCGCCGCGCCCGCCGGCGCCGCCGTCAAGATCGACCAGGGCCGCCCCATCGACACCGGCAAGTCGTCGTGCTGCTGAACTGCGCGCGACAGGTATGTGTGTATGTATGTATGTATATATATATATATATATATATATATTCAGCCCTTTATACGTCCCACTGCTGGGGGTGGGCATCCCTTCAATACGAGCGGGATAAGGCCATAATCCATAACGCTGGCCAAGTGCGGGTTGGCAGACTTCACATGTCTTTCGAAAACTTACTAGGTTCTCTCAGACGTGCAGGTTTCCTCACGATGTTTTCCTTCACCGTTAAGTGGTAATCATGTTGGAAATGATTCGCACATGAAAATATCAGAGGTGCGAGACCCGGGATTGGAACCCGCTTTACTCGGTTTCTCAAGTTTACCACTGTCGTGAATGAATAAATTATATCAAAATGGAATACAAACATACAGACTTTATATCTACCTGCTTTTGACCTTAAATATAACCACTAGCCATAAATATAATGTAATAATTATTTAATACTTATTAAATAAAATATAATTCATATATTTTATTCAATGTTTTGTATATTTTCCACTTGCAGGGTGGCGGCGCTAGCGGCCGGAGCCGCGCCCGGCTGTTAAAATGCAATTACCACAAATTCATGATCGCATCCTTATTATTATAAATAAATAAATAAATGATATATAGTGCCGAGTGGCGAATGTTATAAGCTAACTCCCTTAAGTTGCTATCGTCGAGGTGAAATGGATGGTGTATGTTTATACGTGTTTATATATAATGAATATTGTAGGTTAATTTTGTGCTGTTTTCCAAATTACGATCTATGTTTGGAGACACGAGTTTTGTATGGAACGGGAGCCTTGTACGTGGAACTGGCGGTCGGACTCGGTAGATTACGGTACTTCGAAATTGCCTGGTTTCACTTATTACTTCATTTTTTATTAAACTTCTATTACTTTCTTTGGAGAGAACTACACTATAAATTTCATACACTTAAGCATTTTGATATATGAACACATTTCCTAACAAATATCGCTTCAAAAGGTGGTAAAAATTAAAAAATCGTAAGTTCTTATTTTCTAATCACAAGTACGAACTTATGCACACCACACGAAGAAGTTTTTAAAACGAAACATCGTGCGTTTTAATTTTGTGTCATCCGAAAAGCAATGAATAAAATATATTTAAAAAAAGCGCGGTTCAATTTCATATTTGTGCACTTTTCGAGGACACTTTTGAGACGCTAATTTTGTATCTTGAGTTTTTGTTATATCAATGAAATTAAGTGATTTATTATTAATATTAATTACATCCATTTAAATTGTTGACCTTTCATTTATATGAAAATAATCTGAAAAGTAATGTCCATGTTAAGATCCCACAGAAGTCCGGTCGGCCGCCATCTTGTAAAGCGAATGCCAACTCAATGTCAGTCCATTTCGAAGTAGGCTAATTTCTCCATTAGTTTGCTTTTAGCGTTTTACTTTCAAACGTCACCGAGGTACTAATTCGTTTTAATATTCGTCTGCACTGGGTGTTAATTCCATATAATGATATACATATTATTTTTTAATTATAACGCGTACTGGGGTTGTGCTGTTCGAAATTTTGTGTTGAAATTTCTCATATTTGAAACTCGTATATTTTAACACAAAATTGTAGATATAGCTACTTGGCCTTAGTGTTTAGACAGATGTATAGTGTAATGTAGCTGCGGTCGGTCGGTAGCGATCAAGAGCGGGAACATAGAGTATTAAAGTATACACCAATGCTGTTTGGCATCGGATTGTGTCTACTGCCTAGTTAGCTATATATGCACAACACAGATATATTTATGGGCTTTAAAAGCATATTCCACGCGTTTTTTAGATATAATATATATGTTATGTTCAATCTTACCCTTATAAAGACATTACACAGATACCCTCTAAATACATACGTATGCAATCCGATGTCAAATAACGTTTCTTTTTAAATATGTCGCTCAGTGTTTTAAATATCACTCACGTCATCTAGCCACATTCATCTAGAAACACATTGTCACCTTAGTATCGGTATGATTTTTATTATCTATGTATTAGTAAAAGTAATTTAATTAATGTTACTCACTCTAAATAATTTTCCAAAATTATAATATATTACAAATTAAAATAAAGCTAAGCAATAAGAATCTGTAATACATTTAGGGTAGCTCAAATGTTAAAAACAAAAACAGGAATTTTAGTTTGTTTCCATCTTTATTTTAGAGTATTATTGGAAAAGTCGGTATTTAAAACATTGGACTTGTTATGATTTTATTGTTTCGATCGTATATAACTTACTCAAGTATGTCGTTATTTTTATACTATTACATGAAGTTAAGTTTACTTAATCGATCCGCTAACCCACTGTAATTCTGTATTGAGGGTTTCTTAGAAATTAAAACAGTATGCTATTTAATGATGTTTTATTTTATCTTATCTCCATATCCAGGTAAATTCCTAAGAAATTAATTGTTAACTGTAACACTGTTAAAGGATTAATTTTCTCCTTTATCCACCCCAAATATATAAAAGCAGTAAATATGCGAAAATTAAATAATAAACAATTCGAAATTTTGGCAGTAACTTTAAACTTTAATTAAGCTATTGTAATTTAATTACTTTTTATGTAACATGTTACGTTGTTTTTAAGATTTTTGAAAAATAATTGTGACTTAGGTATATATATGGGTGCCACCCTCAAAGCAGCCTATTTGTTAAAAAAACAGCAAAAATCTTTTTTATTACACCCCATTTCTTAAGTCACTAGCTATCGACTAACAGCAGCATCTCATCATGTACTCATAGTCGTGGCAGAGACCGTGCACGTTGAGAGGACACTGAAGAAACTCTGGGCACTGTACTGGAAGATTATCTGGAAGAAAATGGCAATCGATGAAAAACTTAAAGCGATGCACTGTATTTTACTAGTGATCGCGTCGTACGAACCATAATTCATTCAGTTTGATCGACATTGAGATTTTTTTTCAAAGTTATATAAATAATAAATACTAAATAGCCTATAAAATCCAAAAGAATTTTCAAACAAATTACAAAGGAACAATATCAATCTATTTTCAATTTGACCACAGACTAACAATAAACAAAAGAGTATATATATGCGTGTGTGTGTCAAATACATGGTAGTGTGCGTAATGTTTTTTTATTGATTTAATGTATTTTTTATGCATAATTAAAAAAAATATTAGCTTTCTGCACCCCTTCTCTATATAAACTATATAAGTGTGGAAAATTTCATACACCGACCGCGCAATTTTTGTAAAAACAAAAGGGGTACAAAGTTTTTGCTTCACGTATTAATATATAGATTAAGCGATGTTATTTTTGTAGTGTAGTGGCTGGCATGTACATCGTACGGGTGCAAATCCGGAGGTTTTGGGTTCGAGGCCCGGTCGGGCCTAAATTAGTTGAGTTTTTCTGCCACAATATTCTCAGTAACAGCCCGGAGTTGGGAAGGTTGCGGTGTTTCACCCCCGTGCCTCGGAGAGCACGTAAAGCCGTCGGTAGTATATCCTCGTTTCAATGAGATTAGCCGCAGTGGCCGTAAACGTTCAGTAGGTCATTATTAATGAATTTTGTTGTGGCCTAATAGGTTGCGTGCGAGGAAAGTCGCTGACAACTATTTTAAATGCGAATATTTGTATATGTGTATCTTTGTTACTCCTTGACGCTGAAACGGCTGGATGAATTTGAATGAAATTAAATGCACAGATATACCTACTTATGACCTGAAGTAACACAGGTTACCATTAGGGGACTAGGGATGTACCCGAACGAAGCGATTGCAAGTCCCTACTTATTTATAAATACAAGAAATGTGTTCCCCATGAACGAATTAGCTACAATTCATTCATGATGTTCCCCAATAAGAATAACATGTAGGTATGTTACTGTTTTATTTCTATTAAATATTAAGATACCTAATCCATAAGCACAACCGCAGCAAAAACCGTGTATAATGGCCTCGTCATCTTCGCAGCCTCGCGGCGGACATCCGTTACACCATAGCCCAATGCCAATCCATGGCATATTCCCTAAAAAATAAAAATATTGATATAGGTATTAACATATTCTAATCAATCAATTGTGATTAACAACATTTATTTTTTCGGCACGATTCTACTTGTGTTTTAGAGATTAGAAAAGTTTCAAGTCTCATCAGAAATCTTATACCTGTTACCGATAATGCAGTTTTGGTGATTTAGCAGTTAAACAGACAGGTTAAAAAATATTAAAATGGTTATTTAGCATTTTTTATTGCTAGTGTACATCCTGTATAGTGTATTTGTTTGGACTATAAGGTTCCTTTTGAAAGACTAGTGTCTTGTATTAACAATATATATTAATGGTAAGGTTCTTTTGGTATAACGTTCAAGCTATGAGCTCAATATGGGATAGCCAGAGCCAAATTTAGAGAAGGGAAGCCGAGGCTATAGCGCCCCAGTAACCCCTACAATACAAACGTCTGTGTTCATAATCCCTTTTTCATGTGTAAGCCCAATGGTTAACTTAAATAAAAGCAACTAAAAATCTGGCTAGCTATTTTGAAAAAAAAACTAACAAATATTTAATAATAAATTGTGTACTTACATCTAGGCGCCTTCCGAACTAAACCGTTTCCTGTATCCGATGAAGGAAAAAACAAGCCGTACGAAATATTTACTAAAGAAATAAGTAAAATAAAATTAGACAATATCTTTACTAAATCCATTATGAGAAATGACTCTACGCTTTAGGCTTTTCTATATATAGGTTAGTTATAAGTAATTAGTTTTAGGTCATTGTCACTAGTTAATGTGCTTATTGAATGTTTCTGGAATGAGATAATCACGTCCTAACTTCTGACATTAAGGCAACGTGTTGGCATACTTAGTCGGGGGTTTGATTCTCACGAAGAAGATATAATTAAAATTACACACAAGACACATAGGTGTAAAAATATGTCTATATCTTAATTTTTAAAACATATTTTTTTATGTTAATTACATTTTAATTTTTCAACAAATAATTATCTTATGAATAAAAAAAACGAAATCGTATTAAAACATTTAATCCAATCGTCTTTTGGTAATAACAACAAAATATGTAACAATAATAATGCAAATAGCATCTAACAAAAACGAATAATAGATGGCGCTGTAGCTGTAAATACAAATACATGAGATCAAAAAAAATATCACAGATATACATAAATTCAAGTGCATCACTACTAATATGTGCTGCTATAATCTTACCATTACATATAAAAAAAATCAATGCGTGTAACCTTTACGCGCGGTTATAGTAAAACTTTTTTGGCGCTGTTTCCAGATAAGGCAATAAAATTAAAACAAATCAAAATATCTAATAAATGTTATAAAATTATTCATAATAAATATATGTTTTTATTAATAATAATAATTATAAAAATATGAATATAATATATTTTTTTAAAATCATTAATAATCAATTTGACTCTCACTTCCGCGACACTCATTTCCCAATGTATTGACTTACCGTAAGTCACGCCTAAAGAAGTTTTACTTCAAAAAATCGACATTTTCTACACTTCGCTAAACTATTTATGTAAATAATTTAATTAATACCGCTATGACTACGTTTTCATTATATTTAAACACGCTGTAAGCGTTTTGGCATACATTTGGCAAATTAGCTATTGACAGGAAGTGCTTTCGATTTGATCTAGAATGTTAAAAATGTATAAAATTTTGGCAACTTGGCGTAAATTATATATTTCGTTACTAGTATCAGCAATAATGCATTCCATTAAAATTATTCGTGTATATAAAATGTATGTAGTTAAAAATACGAAGAGAAAAACTCGCTCGAAATTAAAAAAAAAATCTCTTCAAAATTAAATAAAAAAATTATATAAAAAAGTAATTTTAAACAAAAAATATTTCATAACAATAAATACCTATACATTATGTAACATACTTTTATACATAAAATATAATTTATAAAATTATTAAAGCAAACTATATTCTTAATAAATACTCAAACATTAGTCACTGATACTGAACGTTCTTACAAACTAACATTAAATACGTACAAATATTTATTTACTCCGATCAATATCAAATGCTAAGGTACAGGAGGTAGACTAAATATTAGCTCGTAGACAATTAGTTGCTTTGGCACTTATTTCGTGTATCAACATTAAAATTTTATTTGTAAGAAACTACATATTGAATATTTCATTTAAACATGATGTTATACGTAAAACTAAAGACAAGTTGCTTTGGCACTTATTTCGTGTATCGACATTAAAATCTTATTTGTAAGAAACTACATACTGAAGATTTCATTTAAACACGATGTTATACGTAAAACTAAAAGATACCACATTCATTTTAAAGTTTTACTTGGAATATCCATATACATATTAATTACTTAGCTAATGTGTTAAGTAATACACATAACACTTTCATAATGATTTTAAATTAAATCATTCATAATAACATACCTTATAGCTAATAATTTTCATGCGAATCAAAATGAACATTGTCTTTATAACTTAAAAAAAAAAACAAAAAAAGAACTGTCAATGACAGTTTTTCTGATTGTAATTAAAAAAACAATACGGTTATAATTATATCAATATTTGATAAGATGAGATATATCCCTCGGTATGGTATGTTGTTTTTTTTTATTTGCTCATTTTGACCAAAGACTGAAATCAGCTATATATTTTTTATATTTTTGTATGTACTTCATACAATAACGGGTGCAACAGGTTAACGCGACTTTCGTGAAGCTATTTCAATTTGGCTTTGTTATTATTTTTTTGTATGGACTTTGTGCAACGAGTTCACTAGATTGACGAACTTTTAGCATAGACATGGGATATGTGCTGGAGAGTGCAATAGGATACCATCAATCCCAATATAATTAAGCTTCCCACGTCACTTATACATAATTAAGCACTCCCGACTGTCATACGTACTTCTATATGACAGTTGGGAGACTCATTAGAGTAGACAACAACTGTCCCGCATCCTTCAAAGCCCCATTGCACTACAAAGACGGGTTCCGCTGTAGATTTTAATGAGTAATAATCTCACAGTACCCTTGCCCGTTGACGGCCGACAGGGTCCTGATGATGAGTTTGTTCAGTGAAAAAAAAACAAAAGGTTAACGATAACTGAACGTGACGTCATCACTCATTATACAGAAGCTCTCTCCACAAGGTCTGGTGCGAGCGAGGCGCGTTTGGAGATCGCCCGCAGCGGCCGCGCCGGCGCCGGCAGCAGCGCGCCCTCGCACTGCTTGTTGCCGAGGCAGTTGCATGAACACACCTGGGGAGTACGCACTCTGTTACTGACTGCCCGCGGCTTCGCCCGCATTCAGATGACCAAGAACAAAATTCTTAGGTTTTACATATGAGTATACTCTTACATTGCAGTTTTTGTATTATATCTCAAAAATGAGATAAAATACAAAAACGATGTTGACCCGGATAACCAGCTACAATCATACCAAATCTCATCAAAATCCCTCCAGTGGTTTTTCTGAGATGCGGATGTACAGATTCGGCTTAGTTACAATTTTATTATATGTATAGATAGATGGTATAGCACGGTTTGAGTGACATTTGAAATGGTTACAGCTTATATACTGAATCAATACAGCCTACTTCTATAATAAACACCAAGTTATTAAAGTACAATCATATGCTTTATATGTGTGTATGTTTGTTACTTCTTTCTTCACGTTCAAACGGTTAAATAGGTTTGAATGAAATATACACACACACTATAATTTAGAGTTATTTAGATGCAATAGTCTGTAATAAAATTTGTGTTTAACTGTACATAATATTATACATACAAAAAACACCTAAAGACGCACTCAAGCGAAGCGAGGGTCAATATGATATATGTACATTTATACATATGGGCATTCCACGCCAATCGGATTTCAATTTTTTTTATTTTTGATTTTCTTAATATTTTGGTATTTTTAGTACCTCACAAAAGAGGCTTCCTGGTAATTTTGAGAATTTTTTGAAAATTTTCTTTTTTAAACTTCTATTCACCATGAAACTTTTAAACGCAGTCCGGTAGTGGGCCTTCCATAATTACAATTTTTTCTGGATTTTAAATTTTTTTTTTCATTTTTAAAATTCGAAAAAAAAAATAGTAATTATGGAAGGCGCACTACCGGATCGGGCTTAAAAGTTGCATGATAGATACAAGTTTCATATAGAAAATTTTCAGAAAAATACACACTTTTTTAAAAAACACGATTGAAAAATTAAAATTCAAAAGTCTCGACTAAAAACATTTTAAATATTTTTTTTATATTATTAAGGTCATCCAAAAACAAACATTTTGAAAAATGTTATATATCATTATTATGAAAGTTATGAGCAAAAAAAAACAAAAAATAGCGGTTTTGAACCAGTGGTAAGAAAATCTCAAAATTTTGCCAGGAAGCCTCAAGATTGACGGGTACTAAAAAATACTAAAATATTAAAAAAACAAAAATATTTTTTTTAAACTGTCCGATTTGGCGTGGAATGAATGAATTTACATTAAATTAATACAATATTAATTTCAAAAAGCACTTGCATATGAAGTGGTTTTCTCTACATTATTATATGAAATACATTACCGAAGCCTGGTCATCGTGAGAGCGCTGGCGGCCGGCCAGCGGGTGCGCGTCGATGGGCAGGATCGTTCTGGAACTCTCCTTGTCTTCATCCCGCGCGTTCTCTTCTGCTTGCCTACAAGTAACGATAGTGTTACTCATTAACATATTGATGTAGATGAGAATATCTAAGTAATACAAAACACATAAGTTTGCCCATGTTGATAATGGGGAATAGTTAAATTTATTCATATGACCCAAGATGTAACTTTGGTTTCAATCAACCTGTTGGAATTCGTAAAAAAATCATAAAGTCTAAGAACACAAATCGAAAAAAAAAAACAATGTTTTTCTCATTAAACTATTATAATCTTCGTAATCGGTTACGACCACAACGTCAAAGCTTTTAGACGACGTGAGTTTTGAACCTAGGACCTCCAGATATGTAGACGTACATGGTAGGCACTATAGTTCATTCGCGTTAAGAAAATAGTCATCGTTGTCCACCGGCCTAGCCACGCCCCCCAACCAATTAGATTGCATAAAATTATAAAGTCAAGTTCACAATGACCAGCTGAAGGCAGACTTTCGTACAAAACAGTTTTGTCCTTTGTGCGTTACCTACAATAAATTTTAAAAATGAATACCTCACCTATTTAAATCACTTTCAACTATTTAAATGATTTTGATTCTTTTATAATACATAAATACAAACGAAGATTTTAGATATACTGATAAAACAATTGTATTAATTACTATTTTGATTTGAGATAATTAAGTTGATTTTATATACATTAAACTTAATCTTTTGATATATATTTGAATTGAATTTTTACTCCACCATGAATACGCCTTTATCTTATAGTTAATATTTAACTACACAAAAAAACTTACATGGTCATAAAGCGTAGCACAAGTAAGTTGATACTAGCAGCGACCACCGCGAGGCCGAATAGAATGAACACGAGGCTGAGCGCGACATAGCCCGGCTTGCTTGTCAGTGCTTGATCGTTCTGCAAGATTTGATTAAAACTAAATAGATATTTTCATTTCTACAATTTACACTATTGTAAATACTAGATTTTGTGTCATTTTTACTCTTAACTTTCAAGAGATTTGAGTGAAGTTCGGTGCATTTTTTTTATACTATTTTTATTTATTTACGTTTGCAAGGTTGTTACCCAATAACGCGCATATCTTAAAACGGATTTAGATGGGTTTGAATAGAACATTACTTTTTATCATTGTAATGCATCTTTCTATTACTATAATTTTCAAAAAAGTGTATATATGATATATCATTAAAAAAAATATTTTTATAATAACACCCAAGACACTGAATTAGGTGATGATTAAAAATAGTAAAGTATAAAAAAACATACATACAGACGAACATAGAATTTCCTCCTTTTTGGAAGTCGACTATAAAGCTAATATGACATATTAAATTGTACCTGCAGAGCCACATAATCTCCGAAACCGATAGTAGTGAGTGTTACAAAGCAGTAGTAGAAACTATCGAAGTAACTCCACCCTTCGTACCGGGAAAACACTGCAGCACCTATAAAATATTAACGAATAGAGGAAAAAACTTGTATTTAAATACAAAAAGCTCATACTGTTTTATGTAAGAGAATAGGAATAAAAAAAAATAAGAATAAATAAAAAAATATATATACCTATTGTGTTTCCTAATCCCATTTCTTTCATGCATCTGATTAAAATAACGAATCATTTATATAAGTACACTTATGACCACTCGCATATCTGTCTGTTGGGCCATCTGTCTATTTTCTCTGATCTAATTCATGAAAAGCTTTATATTTAGTATATATTTTTACCAAGTGCATTATGTACCATATAAAATTAAAATAAATAAAATAAAAGAACCTATTATTGGTTACACATATAAAGGAACATACCCATACTACGTGACCCATTTCTTACAATATTTTACCCCTTACCCCCCTCCCCCCCCCCTCGGTGACCACCTGTAGTATATGCCAAGACAGCCTCCCCCTAGTTTTCACGTAGTAATTCATAAATATGGTTTTAAATAATTTTTGGTGTTTACAGAAAGTTAAAAAATGGGCTCTTATTAGTCTTTATTAATACGGCGCTTGCCGAAATACGCCAAGAGCGAGTTTTATAGCTCGAAAAAGCGCGAGATTTCCCTAGAGGAGATTATGACCAAGCGTGGAATTTTGACGAACCTCTCCGCACTTCTCCCACACGCCCCTCCCTTCTAAATGGGTTACGTAGTACGGGTACGTTTAAGTTTTTTTTTGTATAAATGTATACTACACAATAAAAAAGACCTAATAATATAATAAAAACCCACCAGTAGTTATAATGATGGAAGACAGCATACCGGTGGCGAACATGAGGTTCATTTCCGTGGCCTCTGTAGTGTTACATCGTAAATAACATTTAGCACGCCTTATAACAACTGACGCGAACTTGTTCAAACGCTCGCCGATACTTTGAAACATTACTAGCCCCAGAGGGATGCCTACCTGAAATATATATTTGTAATTCTTAATTCCTTACGAATTACTTATTATTATTCAAATAATAAGAACTTTCATTAAAATTAGAAAAATAGTAGCCCAATGAGTTCATGAGATGCTCTATCGATGTGCGCTGCCTAAACTGTTTTAAATATAGCAATCAAATGTATACTAAAGACACCCTGGGATGCACTTGAGTAAAGGAAGGGTTACTAAGGTAATCCATACTAATAATATGAAATTGTATTTGTTAGTTCGTTTGTCCTTCTTTCAAGTCGAAATAGAGTGACTGATTGGCGTGATTTTAGTGTGAAGATGTTGGAGGGCTGGAGTGACATAGATTACTTTTTACGGAAGATTGTCTCATTCCCTTGGAAAAACACGTTATAAAACAACCCACAACTCATATCTATGTATATATATAATACAATATAGTCTATTTTCCGTACTAACCATTAAAAAATACCTAGGGATGAACCAGAACGAGTCAGTAGTTTATAAAGCAGTTAAGACCCAAAGAAATCATGAGTAGGTTAGTTATATTTTAATATATTTAATATTTAAGTGTGCTACTTTTGAATTTAGCTCTCAAAAAGTTCTATATTAAACCAAGTGCATAGTTAAGATCTGATTGGTTCAGAGTTAGGACGAGATGTAAGGTGTAACTATATTTTTTCTATATACAGCACTTAGCACATAGCGATCAGAAATATACAAAAAAGAAGTTAAGATATGAAATTCAATCGCATATTATTTAAAACAAAAATCCATACTAATATTATAAACGTAAAAGTGTGTTTGTTTGTCCTTCTTTCACATCGAAAGGGAGCGACAGATTGATGTGATTTTTTTGTGTGGAGATAGTTGGAGGGCTGGAGTGTAACATAGGCTACTTTTTACCGTGGGATATTAGCTAATTCTCACAGGAAAACACGTTATAATACAATCCAAAAGAATATTTACGATCAGAATTACTTTACAATTGGTATTAATGCTCTTCAATAAAATTAAATTAACACTTATCTTATAATTTTTTAAACTCATCCTATAAGGGGGTAAAATAGGGGATGAAAGTTTGTATGAAACCCACCTATTTAGATTTTTTTGTAATTTAAGCACGAGCGAAGCCGCGGGTTTGTTAGTATATTAAAAAGTGAATATATATAAGATATTACAATATTAAAAGATTAATGAAATATATGTATTATCTAGATTACTTTCTATTATTTACTGTAAACTATTACCATTGCATATGCCATACAAAATGCTTTGCCACCAACAGTGACGGGTGTAGAGTGACCATAGCCAATCATAGCTAAGACTACAGTAGCAAAGTAAAAAGCTCCTGCAAATTTCCACTGAGGTCCTGCCTTGTGAGGCTTGTTCTCAATTATAACTATTTCAATCATGTGGTAATCTTCTGGTGTTATATTGTATTTGCGCACTAGACCATTTTTCATATCTGAAAAGCCATTTATTTACCATTTACAAGCAAAGTATATTATTATGTTATATAGTTATTATTACTTTGGTTATTGAGTACATAATTTCGAATAAGGCTTTGAATTTATGAATTGAATTTGTATTTTTGTATTTTTTATTTACAGTAAGTACTTATATATTTTTAGAAAAGTTTAGTAAACACATAAGAATCAAATAAAAATGTCATACCTGACAGAATCTCCCATCTTTTACTTTCGGTATCCGATTCCAGAGCATCGAAGACTGCAGCTCCAATCAACAAATATGTGAACGTACATACAACAAGTGATAAAGTGCGAACATTCTGCCTTTTCATTATGATTCGTCTTGGTTTCCCCTAATATTCTAACAACTAACAAGTGTATTTTATTAAAATGTTTAATATTAAATTTATAGTAAATTAATTATAAAAACAAAGTTATTCGATTCTTGTCGTTTATTTACGTGTATATATTTATAAGAGCAAAAAGCGTATGCATAGCTGTATCGTTTACTTAGACAGGAAATGAACCAGGTATTTTTTAAGTAATTCAACTTAATAATAGATACTCGTATTTTCTTTTAATTCACAAACAACACAAAATAAATCACTGAATCTTTATTCTATACAAATAAAAAATTTGGCACATAAAAATTTAAAACATTTAAAATTTAATAGTGCACACGCACAGACTATATCGCTAGTCCTAGATAATTCATAATAGATATTCATGTACACAGATTACAATAGAATAAAGATCGTAATTCGTACTTTTCGTAGAATCGTAGCTCAAGGTGGTGTAGAGTTAGTATTGCCACTTGAAATTTTATCCCCTTATGGTTATTTTCAAAAAGCCCTAAGACCCCCACACTGAAAATTTGAAAAATGTAGGTTTTTATCTAATACATTTTTTTTATTTTTTTTATTTTAAATGATTATAAGTAGCGTAAAAAAACTTATTTATGGTTATTATTTATTATATTATAATAATTACATATAACCTATATATATTTAATTTAATAATAATAATAAATTTTATAGATAACTTAGAAAATAATAAAAAAGCATAAATGATGCAATTGATATTTAAAGATATATGATCTTTTCCAAGACTTTAAGCTTTATAAGCCCCTAAACATTTTTTTCCCCCTAAAATCCTCGGTGCAATTATTGTTACCCCTAAATTTTGAGGAAAACCCCTAAATTGGCTACACTGCAGTAGTAGCGACTCTGTGTATTAAAAAAAGATCGATTAGAAAATCGATAGAAAAAATTATATTAATGAGGATGGCGCCACCGTACCATATAGGTGTGTTTAAAAGTTATAAAGGTACAAGTTAAACAAAGAAACACAAATATCTACTTTATAAAAGCGCTGTTTGTTAAAAATAGCATAATTAAAAAAATATATAATAAGCATAATTAAAAAAATAAATATCGGTAAACGATTATATAGTATTAAGTATAGAGCGAGCGAGGGAAAAACGATCTCGCACGGTGAACCACGAGGCGCGCCCGAGTGCAGCGTCGGCTGCATAACGATTAACGGTATTTAAGCCGACTTGGATGATACGTGTTATTGGGAGGGATAAAAAATAAATATCATTTAAATAGGTGAAAATTGTTTCATTTCTTAAAATATTTTTTAGGCAAAAAGATTTTTTTTATAATATGTTTTATTTATAATATTTTTTAGGAAAAAAGAAGGCAGCAGATTTTTCTCCCTTTTGGGATATTTGACTTAGACTATAAGGTAATTTGATAAATTATCATTGGCAAGTGGCAGCCCTAGTGATGTCATTAATCAATGTCTAGTTGACTGATCTTGACTGATCTCTACATCGTGTGCGGTGTGGGTTTCGGCAAGCGGCGCGGAGCTGATGAAATAAATACGATAGCTATTAATAAAAAATTAAAATCATGAAAATATTTTGTAATAAATCCAATCCACCGCTTGGTAAAACAACTTTTTTATTAAAATTATTTATTAATCATTTTTAAAATACTAAATCTTAAAATAGTCCTCTCCGATATATTTCAGGTGGCCTACTAGCTGCTGAACATTACAGGGAGGCGGCTAAAACTCTAGAAATAGTATGGGGAGGAGAATCTTCTATAATTCTCCCAAATTCAAAGAAATCACTGCCATATGGAACAAGCAATGACTTGATAAGAGTTCTGGAGAATGCCTTCAATAAATCTGTCAGTCCTCTACATAGAGTTACAATGAACCACTGGTTGTCCTTTAGTCTTATTTTAGATGAAGAAATTTCGAAGTCGCTGGAGTATCTAGATAAGATTCTAGGACCTTTAACTTATTTAGTTGGGGAATCATTATCAGTTTCGGATTTATCTGTTTTTAGTGCTCTTTATGGTAAATATTTCTATTTATCAAAATATTATAATTATAATAATAGAAGACATTTAAATTAATTCTTGCTTTCATATACTTAAGAAAATTATTGATGTTTTATGATTGTGCAATATTGAAGTCTAATTACATACTTCTTACAGTTTCTAGTAAATTTAAAGAAATTTCTAAAACGAAACCTTTCAACAATATTTTGCGTTGGATGAAACTTGTTGAAGCTCAAGAACCTGTTGCTAAACTATTGAAGGAATTGCCTACTGATGTTCTTGAAAGTTTGTCAAAAGCCTCATCAAGGTAATTGTTAACTAATATTTTCTATTTGGAGAGGAGATTAAAGATAGGATTTTGATAATAATTCAGTTATTATAATTTTTCTTTATCCTGATAAAATATACTTTATAAAAAAAGGAATATTTTTTGGTTTTTTTAGATAAAATATTTATTTTGGTATAATATTTGAGTTTTTAAAAAAACTGATTGAATTATAAAAATATTCTTTTTTATCTTTATTACAGGAGGTCTCCGCTAGCAACCAAAGAGGTGGGTGGACGTCTCCAAGAAGGAAAGTTTGTAGAACTGCCTCATGCTGAATATGGGAAAGTGGTAGTACGATTCCCACCTGAAGCATCTGGGTGAGTAGTTGATGTTTATTTTAAACAGTACTGTAAAACATTTTATAGTGTGGCTTATCTTATTTTGTGATAAAAATAAAAAAAAGTTTATTCTAGTTTTAAATTGTATTTATGATAAAGATTAAATTGAAATCTTCTAATAACACTCTGCAAGAATGCATATGAAATACAGCAGCAAGAATAATTTTTTACTCCATTTTTTCTCCAGTTATTGCTTATATTGAGGCCATTTTATTAACATTTTTACTAATTTAAATTGTCACTTTAATTATAGTTATCTCCACATTGGTCATGCTAAAGCAGCTCTTCTAAATCAATATTATCAACTAGCTTTTGATGGAAAATTGATTATGAGATTTGATGATACTAATCCAGCTAAAGAGAATGCTGAGTTTGAAAAGGTAATTTTTGAGTAAAATTTAATATCACGTTTATATATTATTAATCACTTCTGATTTACATCTATTTAATATTTATGTTTAAAATAGGTAATTCTAGAAGATGTAAAAATGTTAGAAATCAAGCCAGATATGTTTACACATACATCACAATATTTTGATTTGATGTTACAATTATGCGAGAAGCTTATCAAAGAAGGCAAAGCATTTGTTGATGATACTCCTGCTGAGCAGATGAAAGCCGAAAGAGAACAAAAAGAAGAGAGCAAAAATAGGAACAACTGTATGTATCAAGTAGATTTCTTTTAATCAAGAAAATCAATTAAATTATTTGTTTATAATAACTAAATAAGAATAGCAAACTGTGAAAAAGGATATAATATATATATTATATTGAATTTCAAATTTCAATTTTATATTATAATTTGGTTTTTATTACCTTTTTAACTTGCTAATACATAATATGCATACATAGTTTTTTTTCCTACATATTACTAATACCTACTTCATGTGTTTTGTAATTTTATTATATTTTATATCATTTCAGCTGTCCAAAAGAATCTGCAGCTTTGGGAAGAGATGAAGAAAGGTAGTGAAATTGGCATTCAGAATTGTGTGAGAGCTAAAATTGATATGCAATCTCCTAATGGGTGCTTAAGAGATCCTACTATATATAGATGTATGCCCGAACCACATCCAAGAACTTTTACTGCTTACAAGTAAGTACATCATTAAAATTCTATATAATTCTTTAATTTAAATTTATATTTTTATTTATTGAACAATATGTACTTGAAATTGTTGTACAGACAAAATAATATTAAAGTTATTAGCTAAGTTCGTAATGGTCATAATACATAAACGTACATAAACTTTATCATTAAAGTTTTTTGAGGATTTCTTATCTTATAAGTTTTAACAATACTTGCTAGTGCCACTTTTAATATATGTACATATATATAAGAAGGCTTTAATTGGCTAAAATTATTGTATGTCATGGTTCAGAACAATGTATGACAAAAGCTTCATCCAAGTCCTTTCAATGATAAAGTTTCTATAATATAATAGACGAAATAGTAATTTTTATTTTGATATTAATCATTGTTTATAGTTTTATAAACAGTTTGCGCAAAATATATATTATATATAAATATACTGTATGAATCTTTCAGATTATATAGTGTTCAAACTCCTGAGGTTCAAATTCTTCTGGTAGTTAATATTTAAATTGGCAGCTAACTAATACTTGTCTCAGTCTGTACTATGCTTAGTATTGATTTAAGCATTTTCTCCTTATTTACAGAGTATACCCAACTTATGACTTTGCATGTCCGATCGTTGATTCTATTGAAGGTGTGACCCACGTACTGCGTACTATGGAGTACCACGATCGAGACCCACAGTTTTATTGGTTCATAGATGCTTTGGGGCTTAGAAAACCTTATATTTGGGAGTACAGCAGGTAATTCAATAATTTTTATTCGCAATTTCATGTGTCTAATTTTTTTTGCGAAACCCTGATTCTTTTTCTACAATAAAAGTAGCCAAGTTACTTCTTATAACAGCAGCTATCTACCAAAGAAAGTTCCGTAAAAATCGGTACAGTCGTTTCGGAGATTAGCCGAAACAAACAGACAGACAGAAAAAATAATAAAAAATTGTTGTTTTTTATTAGTACACTATACAATTTCATATGCATTTAGTAAAAAGCTGTTATTTTGACATTACAAATAGACACTTTAATTTTATTTATCTGTAACTACAGATAAATGAATTTACTACAGTGAGAGTAATAGTTTAGTGTTAAACATATGCCTGGTATGTTTAAATAAGTGTAAGTTAGTAAAAATATTACCTCTATTTGTAATTCTTAGCATCTTTGTAGAAAAAATATACTTTTCTTATTATATTTTAATGTGTTTAAGTATTAAAATATATTTAATATTTAATTTTTAGACTGAGTATGACTAATACAGTGCTGTCTAAGAGAAAGCTGACTTGGTTTGTGGACCAAGGACTCGTTGATGGATGGTAAGTTATAATAACACTTTTATTTTAATGTTTAAGTGATGATAAGTGAAACTTTTAATGCCATTAAATAATAAAAGAAGAATATAATCAAGCAGTATTATGTATATGTGGTTACTGCTTGCGGTTTTGAGCTTCCTTTGTAATTTTATATATTTCATAATTCCATGCCAAGCTTGAAATAATTACATTTTCAATTGTTATCATCATACTTGCCAAAAAGGCCTCAAAAAATACCAATAAAATGTTTGCAATACACATGGCATTAGTATTAAAAGTAAAAAAAAAATGTTATGGTATTAAATATGACTTACATACGTGTGCGCGCGTGCGTACATACGTGTGTGTGTGTGTGTGCATATATGAAAGTTTGGGAGTGTGAGTGTGTGTATGTTTGTCTGTATAAACATGCACTTGCCGGTTTCAGGGACGACCCGCGAATGCCGACGGTGCGCGGCGTGCTGCGGCGCGGCATGACTGTGGAGGGGCTGCGCCAGTTCATACAGGCACAGGGCTCCAGCCGCTCCGTCGTCTTCATGGAATGGGACAAGATATGGGCTATTAACAAGAAGGTAATATATATCTCGAATTATCGTTCGCCGGTTCACTCGTTAAATAAAATAACATAGTACAAATAATAATGATAATCACTTATATTTATACTTATATTATAACGCTCTATATGTGTTTTCACCCGTTACACAGCATTCTAAGCTTCTAATGACATTTTAAAACGAGGAAACAAGTGAACAGACTGCTTGAATCCAATAATTGAATATTCATTTTTATTATTTACCTCCCACCAGCCTAGGCTCTGTATGCAACAGTATGATGTTTGTGTGTCGTTAAAGTTCCGTTTGGATATCAGGGACTCGACATATGTATATTCACAAGACGGTGGTAGCCCAGTGGCAACGCGCTCGTTTGGAAAACCGAGTAAAGCAGGTTCAAATCCCGGGTCTCGCACTTCTGATATTTTCATGTGCGAATCATTTCCAACATGAATACTACTTGTCTTAGGGTGAAGAAAAACTTTGTGAGGAAACCTGCTTGTCTGAGAGAACCTAGCAAGTTTTCGAATGACATGAGAAATCCGCCAACCCGCACTCGGCCAGGATGGTGGACTATAGCCTGATCCCCCACGTATTGCTCGCTATACGCTCGGGCCCAGCAATGGGACGTTAAAAAGGGCTGAATACAATACATATAATACACATGAGTAGGCTGTCGTATGTTTGTATGTCGCTATGTTAGCTATTTTATTAGTGTCATCCTACATATTTTGCAATTTTTTTTTATTATAACGCAATTTTAATGTTCTAGGTCATAGATCCAATAGCTCCTAGATACACAGCTTTGGAGTCCACTCCAGTACCGGTCAATCTTAAAGATATTGAATCTGACAGCACTCTGAAGGTGGCTTTACATCCAAAGAATGCAGATGTTGGAACTAAAACAGTTTGGGTCTCAAAGAGGTTGCTCATTGATCAAAATGATGCAAAAACTCTTAAGGAAGGAGAGAATGCTACATTCATTAATTATGGAAATATTATGATTGATAAAATTCACAAGTAAGTTTCCTTAACAATTTTCAATGTGTTTATTAGTATTATGTTTAACTACACCGAATAGCGAAATAAATATAAATCTTAAGGTAATATTTAGTTTTTTAATTAAATATCTCATGTGATATATAGTATTTTATACATAGACTAGCGATTGACCCTCGTTCCGCTCAGGTTCGTCCCTAGGTACGTGTTAACGATTAGTATAGATTCCCCACAATAAAGAATATCTACTTTTAGAGGTATGGTATATATGTTGACCCGGATAACCAGCTATTATCATACCAAATTTCATCAACATCTGTTCAGTGGTTTTCTCGTGATGCGTTCCCAGACAGACACAGACAAAAACTCTAAAAACTATAGATCCGGCCTCTGTTTTGATAATAATGACTATTTTAATAAGATTTTGCAAGAAATATTTAATGTACAGATTTGACTCAGTTAGAATTTTATTATATGTATAGGTAATAATAATAGTGTCTTTTGTTATTAATTAAAATATGCTAATTTCTTGCAGAGCCGCAGATGGAATAGTAACGAGCATAGATGCGACACCTAACTTAAACAACAAGGACTACAAAAAGACATTAAAGCTTACTTGGCTCGCTGACACCCCACAGTCCCCCATGGTCGAGACCTACTGCGTTTACTTCGACCATATCATATCCAAGCCATTGCTTGGCAAAGATGAGGACTTTAAACAGTATATTGGACATAAGACTAGAGTAAGTGCACAAAATATGATATAATACTTTCTTAGATTTATGTGAATATTTGACATTTTAAATAAAACTATCTTTTCGGATTATTTCGCGGATTTATTTTGAAAAAAAAATCATTTTTGTAAAATAGTAGGTAGGCACTGTCTTTAACAAGTGTATAACGCCTTTAAGACGTCTATAACATTAATCCCTCCCATGACCATGATTGCTGTAAACTCGTCGTAAGTGTCGGGAACCAAAAATCAAAATAAATCCGTGAAATAATCCGAAAAGATAGTTTTATTTAAAATGATATGATATACCTAGTTAAGCAATACAAAATAAATATATGTAGTATGAAAAAAAAAACTTAATTAGTCATAATACATAACAGATACTTTAAACGCTTGGCGTGACGTTAAAGTATTATATACATAGAAAAATGACGACTCAATTAATTGTAGCAACAAAATCGCCAATCGCTCTGTTATGATATACTCTGACGTCATATTCGGTCTGACCAATGGCGTGCGTTTCAACTACTTTGCATTCCTAACCTATAATTGCACTTTTTAATAATTATATTGTCAATCAAAAATAAAATACATTAAAAAGTGTTACTATATGCTTAATTCAAAGCAATAAAGATTATAAAAAAATATATTTCACCTTTATTTAAATCACACGCATATTCCCTATTCCAGTTATAAATCTAAATTACGCTAGTTACTTTCATAATGAGATCACACAAACACACACGTATGTATGTGTGTGGGTACACACACATACTTCCGATTAACAACATTACTGTGATTATAGTGGGAAGTGCCGATGCTGGGTGAGCCGGAGCTGAGCAAAGTGAATGAGGGGGATATAATCCAGCTGCAAAGGAGAGGGTTCTTCCGCGTGGACGTGGCGCCCGCGCCGCCCTCCCCGCACACCTCGCGCGCGACCCCCCTCATACTGTTCCACGTGCCGGACGGACACACCAAGGATATGCCCGGACAGGTGAGTGATGGTAGTGGCTCAATAGTTTTTAAATTTTTGAAGTAAAACTTCTTTACGCACGCTTGAGTTATTTTCAATGCTTTGTTGTTTTGGGTATAGGTAAACGGGTAAGGGGAATTTTTAATTTTTTTTTGTCTAGTCAAAAGTGGGATAAGTAACGTGTGATTTATGTACAACGCCTTGTTGTCTTTTACAGGTAAATTATTATTTTATATTATTTTGTGGTGTACACTTGGCCTAATTTCAGTGCAAGGGTCAGGGCATAGTCCACCACGATATTTCTATCGAAATCTAGTTAGGTTCCCAATTTTTCTATTCACCGTAAGGCAAAGCAGGTGATAATTATTATAATATATCAGATTTGCTTATGAAAATATCAAAGGTGCGAAGTCCAAGATTCAAACTCACTTTACACGGTTTTCCAAGAGTTTGCTGCCTCAAACATTAGTTCTACTTTTACTTCTTACTAGAGAACTTCATTTTCTTTCTTAACTATTTCGGGTCCTTTGCATCTGAAAACTCAAACGCCTTATACGCGTGTGTCATCTTTATACACACATACACGACAAACTTCGTTTCCCTGCGTTATTTATTCTGCCTTATTATATTAGAGAAACGTGTTTGCTATATTCACTTACCAAGTCCCACTTTATAATATAATATAGGATATAAGATAATTGAATTCTGATAAGCTATAGTAGGTATATCAATCCACAAAATATAAAATATAGAAATTTTAATGTATATATATATTTTCAATTTTTGTGTCTGGAAACATTAGTGTCTATTTGTATTCAATTGTTTCTTCAGTTTGCTACTTTCACTGTGATTTATAATTTTTGTAAGCTTACCTATTGTGTTTGAAAATACCTATTTTCATCTTATACCTATGTATTATTAAATAAAACGATATATAACGAATAATTGAATATGGAAAAATTCATATTCAAATATCAATTATAATTAAAATTATAAAAATGTTTAAAGTTAAAATATTGTAATGTAATTGGTGCAATGTTCATTTTGTTGATTGTGGGTAGGCTGTCTGTAACAACTATATCTGTAAGACATGTAACACCTCAGTCTCTCCCGTGACCATGGATGCTGTAAAGCATTCGAAACGTCGGGAACCAAAAATCAAAATAAATCCGCGAAATAATCCGAAAACATAGTTTTATTTAATAATGTCAAACATTCGCGTAAATCTAAGAAAGTATTATACCTATGTACTTTTGGTTTCGGAGCGTTTTGAAAACTATTTATACTAACTTAAAATTAAATTAAAAAAAAAAATAAATGTGAGACTTGTAGCCGATTTGAGGCTCCTTTATTGTCTAAATACATACTCGGCCGGCGGGTGCCGCGTGGGCCGATTAGACGCTGAGTTTGCGTCTCTCTTATTCTAGGTAAATCTTAATCTAAAGCGGATGGACGAGGTGTAACCATAACTATGTATAAAACAAAGTGGGGTTTGTTACAACACTTATAATTCGAGAACGGCTGGACCGATTTTTATGATCTTATACTATTAAAACATCGAAAAATTCGCTAAAAATGTAATCGTATTAATAGTTTTTTTTTTAACTTTTTTAAGCGTCAAAACGTACCTAGGGATATGAACCTGAGAGAAGCGAGGATTAGTAGTAGTCGTTAGTTTATAACCCCCGACGCAAAAACGACGGGTGATATAAGTTTGACGTGTCTGTGTGTGTCTGTCTGTGGCATTGTAGCTTCCGAACAGATGAACCGATTTTAATTTTGTTTTTTTTGAAAGGTGAGTCGGGAGTTTTCTTAGCTATGTTTGATGAAGAACGGTCCAAGATGGCCGCCGCCACAAAATGGTGGATTACATTTTTTTTACGACTCCCTCAATATGGGTATCAAATGAAAGAAAGGCCTTGGCTAGTAGAATACTATACACTATGATAAATTTCAAATCCAAGATGGCTGCCACCACAAAATGGCGAATTACATGTCGGTTTTTTTTTATTTTTAATTAAGTTAAAAATAAAAAAAAAACGTTTGAAAAATTTGTTTATTAAAAAAAAATAGTCTCTATGTAAGTAATAAGTATATAATAAGTCACATTATTTTAATGTTTCTTAAAACAACTATATTTTTAACTTTTAAATACTTAACAATGAAACATTTCGTAAATAAAAGGATTGGCGTACACAAACTCAATACTTAATCTCCTTTTAGGGAAAAGAACTATCATTTGTTGTAATAAATTTATGAAGGACTGAATTTTTTTTATGTCATACTTCCTTTGGTTTTTGGTTCTGAACGGAGCCCAGTGCTCGAAGTAAGCGCCGTTTACAGTTCTGCGTATTTTGTCAGTTTTGACAAAATGTTGTATCATCAAAGATCTCTAAAAAGAAGTTAAATATTTGTATGACTCACCTTATTTATGTTTCATTTTATATGTATATGTTTTAATATCGTTTCTATAATTATTAGTAAAGTTAAAGTGTTATATTTATTACTATATTTGTATAAACATAAAGGCTTATGTACACGAAGACTTTATAACGCGCCGTCGATGCTCGTATTCTGAGCTGATAAACTTAAAAAGGTATATGCACACGTTTTATAAACGCGCCGATAACGCGCATACCATGAATGTATATCTGCGCTTAATGTGCACATAAATTTAAAAATTGCGGACTGATAGAAATAAATGACATTTGATAGAAATAAAAGTTTGTGTTATTAAAATATATTAGACATAGAGTATTGCCATAGACACGATAGCTTATACTATCGTAAACTAAAGCACGCACAGGTATATAGTAGGGGGAGTAAAGTGTAGAAATATAGAGAATCAAATATATAGAATCAAAAGTTTCTTCTTTAAATACTATCTGCCGTTAATTTTTATATTAAAGATCATCGATCAAAAAGAAAGTAAGAAGAATCAGCGACAAAAATGTCCTCACCGAATGAGTGCTTATTTGAAGATTTGAGCGCACTTTTAACTTAATCCTTTTTTTTGTGAAAACAACTTTAAGCATTGAATTTAAGTTTGAATTTACATTGTTGTTAATTATTTCAACCAGAATTAATTGGTGACAGTTTTAAGAGAACTTATTCATGGGATTGTATATCTAGTACTTTTTTGATCGATGTCAAAAATAGACCAATATACAGAAAAATTAAGAGTAACTGCAACTACACTACACATACCTCATTACCTACACCAAAATTTCTCTTGAATGTATAGCCAACAAAATAATTAATGCTGTAATAAGACATGTTTATCATCTCATGGGGTATGTTGCCTAAAATCGACATCTGTTTGTATAATATATCACTGTTTATATAACCCAGGAACAGTTTCCTCCCTGTAGCCATCTCATGTAAAACCAAGGCAGTAGACCATACATCGATACTAAATCCTGCTGAATAACCCAATATCACTTCAGGTGCTCGGTAACTACATGTACCAAGATTTGGCGAAATTATAGCAGATTCTATATAATAAGCATTATCAAAACCGCATAATTTTAATTTATCATTTGAACAATTCAACAGAATGTGATTTGGATTAATATCTGAAACAAAAGAATATGTTTTGATTTATAACAGAAGACATATGTCCTAGTTGGAAAATATTATGTATCTATCATTATATTCAAATCAAAAGAATGGCGAGGAATTGTTAAATATTTTTACCTGAATGGACTATATTGTTATTTCTCAGCAATGTTACAGCTGATACCAGTTGCCGAGCAAGGTCTTGGACTGTGTGTATATCCAAAGGTTTACTTGAGTTAGATAATACTTGTCTTAAGTTTTGAGGATAAAAGTCCATCACAAAACACCAATATCCATTAATTACAAAACTTTCATGAAGGTATACACAGAATAAATTGTCTTTAGGAATATCACATTGAATACTCTTTAACATTTTTTGTTGGTGTAATCCACGTGAGTATTTGTAAGTGCTAAAACTGAAAAAAAATATAATCTCATAAATATGATAAATGCGAAAGTTTGGATGGGTGAATGTTTGTTACTTAATTATGTTAAAGCGGCTGAACAGATCTGGTTGAAATTTGGAACAGAGATAAATTATAGTCTGGAATAGAACATTGGTGAACACTCTTTATTCCGGGAAAAATGCACGGTTCCCGTGGAACAGATTGTTTTTTTTTTGTTCATAGAGCAAAAGATCAACTATATATTATATAGTAACCGTTTATATGTAACTAGGGACGAACCCGAGTGAAGCGAGGGTGAGCTCTAGTAACATGTATATTTGTACTATGTATAATAGTATTTTGATTAATGTATTAAATATATACCTTAACATCTTAAGGGCATACTCTTTCCCAGCTGAATCTTTGCATTTAAATATTTTAGAAAATCTTCCATAATGAATAATTGAAAGTACAGAATGCTTTTCATGTAAACATTTAAACAAATATTTCTCTAAATTATGTGATAGAAGCACATCTGTTTTATTCAGCACAACACTTTTTATACATGAAGATTTCTTATTTTCATTTATTTTTATGGGCTCAGCCTCTATATATTTGTTTTTAACTATACTCTTATTGGGTTTATCATTTTGTACTGGCAAAGTGGTATTCTGTGAATTGTTTAATTCTTTACATTTAACTGTGTTCATAGATTTTATTTTAGTTTCAGATTTTGTATATGTTGTTGTCTTGGGACAATCATTAGACACTAAATCCACATTGACTTTGATCCTCATATAGTTATCTGAGTCATCATTGAAATTATTAATATCAGATTTTTTTAGTTCTGCTTTTGTATGTTCTATAAACTTAAAAGAAAGTGAAGAATTCAATTCTCCCTTTATTGCCAACACATTTTTTTCAGTATATTCACTTGATTTTTTGAAGTTCTTAATTATTTTAATGTCATTAATTGTTTTATTTTCACTTTTAATCTTATCACTATCTTCTGTATTGAAACTACTTAAAGAATGTAATTTGCAAATTTTCTCACATTCTGTATTATTGCTTATAGCGTTTTCTTCCATGTTTTCAATTATACATGTTTCACTTTCAATGAATTTTAAGTTGGTTATTGTTCCAAATTTCATATTTAAATCATTTTTGTTTACTACGTTAGTATTTTCTAAACAATGCTGATTTTCTTCAGACTTTTTTAAGCATGCCACTATTTCATCTATATTCAAATCATCGAGGAAACTTATATCTAGATGTTCTGGTGATTGGTCTTGCTGTTAAAATATCCACAATAGAAATAGATTAACATAATATGTAAAAAGTTTGTTTGGGTACTGCTATGGACCATGTGAAAATTTAAAAAAGTTATTTCTGAGTAATCTAATAGATTTATAGTTTACTTATAGTTTTACTTCATATCAAAGTATGAGACAGAAGCGATAAGGGATTAATTATGATCTAATTATTATTATTACAGTGAACAATTTAAGAATATTTGGCATTCATAAACTTATTCATCTATAATAAAACAATTTGTATATATTGTTAGAGCTATATATATATATATGTATTTTCAACTGAACACTTAACTTTTAAAACTATATGCACATGTTGTTTCTGTTTATCATAAGCTCTCTTGTATTCTCTTTCCTTTTCACCTAATACTCAAATAAAACCATATCTGCTTTAAATTTTTAAAATCTAATTGTTTTTTGAATAAATAGGGATAATAGATAATTTGATTTTACTTACTAGAATTTTATCAACTTTGGGTCTTTTTGGAGATGGTGGTTTACAAACAATAACAGTTGGTTCTATAACAATGTTCGGACTATTGTATTGAGAAAAATATTGCTGGAAAGATTACTTAATTATTACTAAATATTGTTTAATATATTTTAATGTCTATTTTCAATGTTTCAATATGTTTCCAATATTAAACTGATACTAATTAACTATTCAATTAAAACTGCAAGTTTTATACTATATTTATGACTCACTGGACCACATTATTACATTAAAAACTTCAAAAATTATAATACTTCTTTAACTGTACCTATTTGTAATAAGTAAACACATTATTCTTTGCTTACCTCAGACATGATAATTGATAAGTATTTACGTAAAATTAACAAAATTAGGTAAAATTAATATTGCCAATAATTTATTTAATTATTTTTTAGTAAATAACAGAGAGTACGTAACAACTAACAAAGCTCACAAAGCTGATTTGTATTTTGTTCTCAAAACTTGTCACTTGTCATTACCTTTTTAATTAAACTTCACAAAAGACGTATTATTTTGGCATTTATCAATAGAATAAAAATAATAATAATATGGTTATATGATACTCAAATAAAATAAGGAACCATGTTGTTGAATTAAATAATATAATTTAACAATTAATTATTCAATTTGATTTGAAGAATAATATATCAGCTTGACCAATTATTTCGGTCACGAATATAGATGTAAAACAACCGATTTAAAAACTTTTAAATAGAATGTTCCCGTTTTAAACCCCAAATAGGTACGATTTATTTTTTTAACGGTTAAAAACGCCTTTAAAAGTAAAAGAACTGTGTTTAACACTTCATTGTGGGCAATTTTTGGTCACCTAACGTCATGTTTTGTTTTAATTAGTTTATAAAAAAATCAACAGAAAGTACCTACCTACATTACCTACTACACGAAAACTTACTTGTATGCAAGTATATCTATCTATACCTACTTAACTATACATATAATAAAATTCTAAGCTGAATCTGTACATTAAATATTTTTAGGAAAATCTTATTAAAATAGACATTATTTTCGATACAGAGGCCGAATCAACAGTTTTTAGAATTTTTGTCTGTCTGTGTGTTACTACATCACGGAAAAACCACTGGAGAGATTTTGATGAAATTTGGTATGGTGATAGCTGGTTATCCAGGTCAACATATAGGATAGTTTTTACCGCGGGAAAATATCTCATTTCTGAGAAAAAATACAAAAACTGAATAAAAAAATACTAATATGTAAAATCTAAGAATTTGGTTTTTGATCATCTGAACGCGAACGGATTTATTATTTTATATTTATATTAAATTGATTATTTATACGAGTATCATTTGAAAACAATGAAGAAAAATGATTATTTACTAACACAGAGCTTTTAACTTATCAATAGACTTACTAAACCAACAATGAATAAGGCAATTATAGTTAAAAAGTTTTAAGTGTGTCAGAATGTTACTTTCGAAACTTTCAGGGTTTTTATTCTATTCTAGTAAGGGCGACTGTACATTATATTAGTACTGTTTTGAATGTTATGTCGATATCTATTTAATAAATATCTAGTAAGCTCTTTAATATTATGATGAATAATTGCTTATTACAACGTAATTTTATTAATTAATAGATTTTGTCGACGACTATTAGCAATGATAGCTAATCAACAGTTTCTATGGAGGGATAGGGAGTATGGAAGTGTTCGTGAAAGGCGTTAAATTAGGATGGCGCTACTATAGCAAGTGGATAAACTTTAAAAAAGTGCCAAAAGTAATTAGAGTAGGATATGAAATTAAACAATGAATATCACCTCCAGATAAATTTCTAAGAAATTAATTAAAGTTTTAAGAAATCTATTGTTAACTGTAACGCCGGCGTGTCCGCGGTCGTTGAGGGAATAGTTTGGATTAGGTAAATAAATTAAGTTTTGCATACTGGAGTTTCATTAACTTCTTTATTCAGCAAATATAATAAATTTTTCAACTTTTCACAGTTCACTCCGTCTAGAGCTGCTAAATTTATATCATACTCCTGACTTACGCTTGCGCCAGTCTGGTGTTTTTTTTTTAAATCATTATTTACCGCTTACAGGTGGGCACATTTTCCAACTTCTCCCAAGTAGAAGATGGTTCTTTTTTCACTTCTACCCTCAATAAACAGTTTTGCATTACTTTATAGTTTAAAACGTAAGAAATAGGTGTTAACTGATATAAATTCTCCAGCCGCGTAGACATAAAATATCAATAAAAACGAATATCGGCAAAATGCTATTTTTATTTTAAAATATAAAATGAAAATAACAATAATTACTTAATATGTATTAAAAAAAATTTACAACTCTTGTTGTTTTAATTGCTTATTTTAACATGTTATGTTGTCAGAAACTGTTTCGGACGACCAGAACCAGGGTATGTCTAGTACCCGGAGGTCGACCTGGGACAATCTCCCAGACGTTCTTGGCGTACACGGCAGTATGTCCGTTCGCTGGTAATGTACGCCACCACGCACCCCTGAATGCGTAGCTTGGGTCCCGATCCACTAGGGTTTCTTCGTTGACAGGAGACTATACTTAGAGGCGATGAAATAAAAACACAATTTTTCCTTTTTTCTCTCTTGGTTTCGGTTCTTCCTTTTCCTTTTAGTTGTTGCCTCTTCGGTGGCTGTCTTGCGACTGACTCGAATCGAGAAATGGCTCGCCTTTTATTTGGCCCGTTAATACCTTACAGAGAGCCGCGTACTTTGAGCTCATTTTTCGAATAAAATTTCCCTAAACCGAAACCTTGAGAGTCCTTTTATTTTATGTTTTCAGTAAAACACCTTACACATATTTATTTATTTACATGCCTTACATACTATTATACAATATTAAAACATAATATTCAATATATAATAATTAATTAAAAAAGTCTTAAAACAAAAATATCTAAATTTCTAGGTTGCTACATTTTTACTATACATTTTCCCTTATAACTTTTGAACGGATAGTCCTATCGACCTAATTCTTGTTTTATTATAAGTTTTATAATAAAATCTATTATTTAAAACATAAACTATTATGCTATTGCAAGAAACAAAAAATCTCATTTTCAAGTTACGTAATTATATGCTAACATTTTACTTACGTACCTATTCCTTTCAAATTAATGTTAAATAGTCTTATATGATTCAAATAAGCAAAAAATACTCTAAACTAACCTTATTACACTAATTAGAACTTAATTTAACATAATAAATCTAATAAGAATGAGATTTCATATTTACAACAATATTCATAATACGCTAAAATGACATTGTCCCTATATTAATACACACGTTACTCGAAGATAGGTTTTCCGTCGCCGACATTCTCCCCCTCGTGCTTTGCACCAACTCCTGGACTCGGCGACGCTCCCGGCACCAACAGCACCACTCTCGAACTGGGCCTCCGTAGAGCACCTCCTCTGGTCTCGACGTCGACGACTCTGGTCCGCCCGTCTGGTCCAGGATACACATGCAGGATTCTTCCGCGTGGCCAGATGCATCTTGGTAGGCTGTGATCGACGATCAGTACGATGTCTCCGACTTGCAAATCTGTGGCGCTGACTCTTCCTTTGGTCTTCCTTGGTAGTAGAGTGGGCAAATACTCTCTCAGCCAACGTTGCCAGAAGTGATCGGCAAGTCGCTGCGTAGCCTTCCAGGTGTGTCTGCCCACAAGCTCGTTGTCCTCGAAGCTGCCGATTCTTGCTGCGCCACATGATCGCCCGATGAGAAAGTGGTTCGGTGTAAGTGCTTCTTCTTCAGGGTTCTCGGAGAGGTGGGTGAGGGGCCGAGAGTTGACTATGTGCTCGGCCTCTAACAGGAGGGTATGAAGTACCTCCTCTCGTGGTTGCCTTTCGTTGAGCGTGGCGTCCAGTGCGGTTTTAATGGATCGCACCAGACGCTCCCATGCACCTCCCATGTTTGGTGCACCAGGAGGTATGAACTTCCACTGCACACCGATCTTCTCCGCTTCCGAGATAAGGTCTTCTTGCTTCATGGTGTCTAGTGCTTCTTTGAGTTCTTTGTTGGCGCCAACGAAGTTAGTGCCATTGTCGGTGTAGATTATCTTTGGCATTCCCCTTCTCGCGGCGAATCGTCGTAGTGCCATGATCATGCTGTCAGTGGAGAGTGAAGGAGTGAGCTCAATGTGTACAGCTCGTGTTGTTAAGCATGTGAATAGAGCACCCCATCTCTTCTCATGGCGTCTTGCTACGGTGATCGTCATAGGGCCGAAGTAATCTATTCCCGTGCACGTAAATGGAGGGTTTCCGTGCATCAGCCTCTCAGCAGGTAAGTTGCCCACTGGTAGTTCTTGAGGTCTTGCCTTTCTTGTTTTGCACCACTGGCATTGATGTTGAATGGTCTTGATCGCTGACCTCAGTCCTAGCACCCAGAAGCGTTGTCTTACTTCGTTCATTACGGTCGCGTGATTCCCGTGATTGAAGCGGCAGTGAAATTCTTCTATGATGAGAAGTGTTGTCTTGTCCTTGCTGTCGAGTACGATGGGTCGTTTGTAGTCTCTGGTAACCCCTCGTATCGCGTCGATTCTTCCTTTCAGTCGCAGGAGACCTTCTTCTAACACTACGTCGAGCCTTTTCAACTTGCTGCTGCCCTCTAATTGTTTTCCTTGCTGTAGGCACCTGATGTCCTCTTTGAAGCATTTCTCTTGACTTCTTCTTAACAACAGCGTTTCAGCTTGCTCTAGTAGACTTGTTTCCAATGGTATGTATTTCCTTTCTGACGTTTTTGAAGACAGATGTCGCTTCTCAACAATTTTCTTATTCCTTTTTGTAGTTTTCCAGGTAGGATCTTCTTTGCTGGCGTGGACCTTTTCCTTTCTTCTGCAGAGTTGTATGAACTGCAGTACTCTTGCTGTAGCTCGCCAAAGTCTTTTCCACGACGAGAACTTTTCGGGATCTGGTGATGGATAGGAGCTGCCTGCAGTCGCTACGATGTCCGCTGCCTTTTCTTCGCCAGTGGTTTCTTTCTTGAATGTTCTTGCCGCAGGCCAGTGAACTTCATCTCTTCTTAGAAACCCTGGTCCGGTGTACCATCGGTGTTGGCAGTCGAAGTGTTCTGGTACGTCACGTGTTGCATCATCTGCAGGGTTCTGCGCCGTCGGTACCCATCTCCAGTCCTGTGGTTTTGTGAGATCTTCTATCTCCGCCAAGCGATGAGCCACGAATGTCTTGAAGGTTCTCGGGTCCGTCTTGATCCATGATAGCACGATACTGGAGTCTGTCCAAAACGTCTTCTTTTCTATTTTCAGATCCATTTCTTCCTCGACCGAGTGTGCCAATCTGCTTCCTAG